CAGCCATCCTCCTCAGCCATCCGTCTCAGCCATCCTCCTCAGTACTCTTCAGTACTCTTCAGTACTCTTCAGTCCTCAAAATGTTTGTCCGCTAATGTCCACCAATGTCCGCTAATGTCCACCAATGTCCATCCAAGTCCGCCAATGTCCGTCCGGGTCCGCCAATGTCCGTCCGAGTCCGCCAATGTCCGTCCGAGTCCGCCAATGTCCGTCCGAGTCCGCCAATGTCCGTCCGTGTCCGCCAATGTCCCAAAAAACACGTCCGTTGTCTCATAGAATCCAAAAAGGACAGGACATAGGCGGACATAGACGGACATGACACCCCCCCCAGTAGACCGGGGGGCTGCATAGACCACTCACGATCCTTAGCTGAATGTCAACGACACTCACCCCACGACCAGGCAGGCAGTGGGATTTGAACCCGCAATCTCACGATTGCAAAGCTGGCTAACCAACTGCGCTACCTGGCCGCTGGTTTTTTAATTTTTTTACCCAGGATTTTTTTTGGTGGTTTCTATTAACCAATGTAAACAGTTCTGGGTGAGAAATTCAAGCTAGCTCGCTCAGGGGCTTAATTGGTCAAATAAGCTCAGTGAAGCTCGCAATCACACAAAACTTGCCACAAAGGTTCAGCTACTTGTTATTAACATTCTGTGAAATTTAGAAGAAAAAATATTTATCAGAACATAAGTTATGCCACCTTTTGTTTTTAAAATAATTAGCAAGATCTCAGCGACCTGTAACAATTTTAAGAGATAAGGATGGGTAGACTTTCATGGGCCACCCTGTATATAAAGAAATTAAGCATAAACTAAATATGTTGGCCTACAGATGGTTAAGTACGCGCGCTCGTGCACGCGTACACTATAACATAAACATATAAACCACTCCACAGACCACATTTATTAAATTTTTTAATTTCCTTCTTCAACTATGTGCCAATGAACCATTTTTGTTCAATAATGACCATCAATTTTAACTGTACTACTCATATATCTTCACTGTAGTAAGGGTTTGGGACTTGGGTGTTAGAGGTATGACAAAATGTCCACTAACAAATCAGTCATATTTCGACTACTTAAACACCTAACTCAGCACCAAAATGTTCTGAGATTTTGTTCGTTGCACTATCATGAAGCTGTGACATTTTTGGACCTATGTAAATATTCAGATTACTAGAATTCATAATCTGTGATTTTTAAGGGGTGGTTAAATGCTTCAAAGTGGTGTATTTCAAAGTTTCCCCAGATTTGCTGCTATTGCTGTAAGTATGTTGCTAATGTTACTAATTACTAAGTATGTTGCTAATGTTACTAATTACTAAGTATGTTGCTAATGTTACTAATTACTAAGTATGTTGTTACCGCAGGTACTTAACCCATTAGGGACGATAGGGTCGTTTACGACCCACCTTTTCTGGAGGCTATAGAGGACAAACCAAAATACTAAATGCCACGAATCTTTCGCACATATGCTCAAAATTTATTGGGCTACATTATTGACTTTCCAGTCGAGACCCAATTAATCACTAACAACTAAATAATTAGGCTAATTAGTCGCCATAATTGGAAAATATTTCACTTAACTTCTTGCCTTGATTGGGACATTAAAACTTTATGTAGGCTTATTTTGTTGAGGACAAAATAGTTGCGGGCAACGATTCCCTTGAGACATATGAAAAGCCCGTGATAATCAGATGTTCACAAACAGAGCTAGACGCTGTTTACTAACTGCGGTCGCATACGACCCACTCGTCCGGGTCGCAAACGACCCATCACGGTTTTTCGGCTTTAACTTCTGAAACAAAGACGTTAGGATAAAATAAAAACTGTAGCTTAAGTTTTAAAAATATGGTCAATACTGTGTGACTCTAACTTTTTAAAAATAAAGAATTTGGGTCATTAACGACCCACTCGGCTCACTTGCTTATTACTACATATGTCCATGTAACTTCTTGAATTCAGCTTAAAACATGACATCATAAGTGCAAAATCGCCTCTCAGCAAGTGATAACCATCATAAACTACGAAAAATCGGTAAAATGGGTCATTAGCGACCCACTAGGACCACAAAATTGATTAATTAAATATAATGTTGTCAAACTTTTACAAATATTAGTATAAAAACATGTTATATCTTGGTCATTACTCCTGTAAGTTGATTTAACTTTTAAAATCGATCAACTGGGTCAATAACGACCCACTCGGAAGTTGAACCACGTCATCAATTATCAGTGTCATGCTATTCCACCATCAAGAAAGACACTCGTCGGTCTTAATTCCACGCAAACCACGGTGGCTGACAACTACCCCTTCTGATATCCAGGGCCAACTGAAGGGCCGTCATCACTCATCAAAGAGCTGCGAGAATAACACTACTGCATATGCCTGGAGTTGTGTCCTGACTATTGTGCGTGGAAATCTGTACCGAAAGGACCGTGGCCGTGCCGCAAAAGAAAAGGAAATCGGCCCTCGTTCCTAACTTGCTAGGTTAGCCATGCTGTTGTTGTTGCTTATTAGATTCTGTTACCTTTTTCGTCAATTTCGAATCTTGGTAAACGACCTGCTACAACCCACCGCTTGAGACCCAGGGTCCCACGGTGATCAGATCATGTCACTCAAGAAAAATCCCCTGAACGAAGTATACGAGATATGCTGTAACCTTGGGTAAATACTGAAAGACGAGTGGTCAAATTGCATAATCTAATCCAACATGCCAAACGGTTTGAGGTTCCTAGAAAGTACGAGAATAACTAAACAACTGATGCATTCAGATTGCTACATCTACTCTGTGAAGGACAGGGAAAAAGCCCCCCCCCCCCAATCTGGCTGGCGGTGCTGCAACCTGCAATCTCTCAGACCTCGTTGTGGGTAACAAACCTCGCAACAACGAAGCAGCTTTTTAAAAACGAAAAGAAGTATTACGTAATCGGCCGAAAGGGAAGGGGGGTTTCCAAATGATTACGCTTGTGTAATTTTGACATAATAGCTATGTGGTGGGGGGGGGGGCGTAAAAATTTTCCAATAAGTGATTACGTAATATATGAATGGCCCCTAAGAAGTAAAGAAAGGAAGCTGCGAAGAGAGTAGATGCAGCCATCTGAAATCTGAATCCAGCAGTTGTATAGTTCTTCTTGGACGTTCTAGGAATCGGGAAAAGATAGGCATGTTGTTTGCTGTCTCACGACATTACGGTCGTGTTCTAACAGCTAATTAACTCGCCTTCCTATCAATCCAATTCTGCCCATTATTATATTCGTAAGTGATTGGGTGACGTGATCTGCAGATCACCGTGAGACTCCAAATCTCAGGAGGGCTAGTGGTCAACCACCCGTGGTTTGCGTGGAATTAAGACCGACGAGTGTCTTTCTTGATGGTGGAATAGCATGATACTGATAATTGATGACGTGGTTTAACTTCCGAGTGGGTCGTTATTGACCCAGTTGATCGATTTTAAAAGTTAAATCAACGTACGGGAGTAATGACCAAGATATAACATGTTTTAACATATAACATACTAATATTTGTAAAAGTTTGACAACATTATATTTAATTAATCAATTTTGTGGTCCTAGTGGGTCGCTAATGACCCATTTTACCGATTTTTCGTAGTTTATGATGATTATCACTTGCTGAGAGGCGATTTTGCACTTATGATGTCATGTTTTAAGCTGAATTCAAGAAGTTACATGGACATATGTAGTAATAAGCAAGTGAGCCGAGTGGGTCGTTAATGACCCAAATTCTTTATTTTTAAAAAGTTGGAGTCACACAATATTGACCATATCTTTTTAACTTATGCTACAGTTTTTATTTTATCCTAACGTCTTTGTTTCAGAAGTTAAAGCCGAAAAACCGTGATGGGTCGTTTGCGACCCGGACGAGTGGGTCGTATGCGACCATGGCTGTATCTTTCAAAGTAAACGAGATACAGATTAGCTTTTTTGGATATCTCATTTTTGCTGTAAAGTGACCTAGTGTGTTAAACGGCATCAAAATCGGCAAACTTTAAAACTCCTCGTCCCTAATGGGTTAATTATAACAGCCGCTATCTCTGAAGTTGAGAAAATGGCATCAGCCAAATTTGATCCACCGAATAACATACTTTTTCGGAGCCAATAAAAGCCATAAAAAAGCCAGTTAAATATTTTCATAGTCAACATGTGAAGTGTTTTAGCCTTAGCATGTCTCTTTTAGAGTTGTTATATACATCTGATGTGTTTTAAACATCGCAAACATTTTTGCACATATTTTATCAAACCAGTTTGTAAATTGCTTACCAGCATATTGGATAGTTGAATGATTCAGTGCTACCAGCACTTAAATCTACCTAAACTCTAGTTTGTATTTATGATTAAAATGTACGGCAGCGACTTCCTATACTACTTACATGCCATATTGGTCCTTGTCTGGCGTCATTATTCTTGGTAAAGTATCTCGGTCGCATTTGCGGTGGATACATTTTTTTCTTAACCTTGAAATGGCGTAATGTCTCAAAATCCACTAACTTCAGTCACGTCCAGTATAATAATGAATCCCAAGGAATTCTTTGACACAAGTCTTTCTGTATAGTTCCCTTTAATGAAGAAGCTATTATGCTGGTTTACTCAGAACATCATTTACCCATATATATGTATCTAAAGCGCTGTTAAATACCTTGCAAATTACATTACAACATTATACCTCACAGAAAATAATGTTTCAGCAAGGTGATGCTCAATAAAGTTAGGAGTGAATTATTGACATTATAAGTAACACATTAATGAGTTACATTTAAATCAAACAGGGCATTAATTATAACCCGCCCATATCAAAGAAGATTAAAGATCGCCGATGAGAGAGCGGCTTTCCTTCCAAACTTAGCAACAAAGAAAAACATGACTCATCATTTAAAACATGAACTACTTACTGCAACGTCAGACGTTGGCTTCTTCATTCTTTGACTTACACGTAGCATTACGCAATGATTTATTTCAAACTAACTAGATTCTACCCATTCAGGAGGTTGAAGAGGAGTCTGAGGTGAAGACTGAGGAGGAGCCTAAAGAGAAGCCCTCTGGTATACCCCTGATATGTGGTTCTTTAAACTGGGACCTTATGGGCCGGGAGAAGAGCAGAGTCAACTCAAGTATGAAAAATATATTTCCTTGTTTGTCAGGAGCCCGCTATCTAATTCTTTTAGGCCTCAGCAGTTGGCAAGTTTCAATTTTCCCAGGCAGAAGCTCAAATAATTTACACGCTGTGTTTTTAGCGGCAACAGCCGTACAAACGCCCTTTAAAAGTGACACACTACGCGCCACTAACACTTGACTAAAACGTGACTATCTCATGACTAACACGTGACTAAATCACGTGCACCGTTACAGAACCGAGGAAGATAGAGCCCGCCTGGACTCCCCAAGTAATGGGCGCACTGGCTGACGTGAGAGTTACTGACATCATAGCTGGACCCTGTGCTGCTCACTCCTTCTTTATTACAGACAAGGGACAGCTATATGGAATAGGTAAGTTGGTCTTAGTTATTTTCTTGCTAATACTTTAATATTACTTCATAAGTAGGTACTGTCATTTCGTTGGTATTACTTTAACGTTATGTTAAAATTGAGTAATGTCATTGATACTATTTTAATATCAGCTATCTAATAGGTACTGTTATTTCATTGGTGTTACTTTGATATATATGTAATATTGAATATGACAATTTTATTTCCCGTCTATTTTTAATATGCAGCTGGCTCGCTGCCCGGCTGCCAGGTATCAATATTCGTTCATTATTTACCATCATTCAAATCCAATACTGATATATCTGGTGGTATCAAATGACTGATAGCGGAGTGACGTTAACATCTAACTTGACTAGCCAGTATATTTACAATGTCAGTATTCGTGACCTCAACCCCTAATATAAGTTGCTGTACATGCTCTAATAACACTGACACGGGGCAGCAGTGGATCAATGTTATTGTCAGGGTGAATTTACTAAGAACTTTATCCCCCAGGGAGAAATGAAAACGGACAGCTCGGTCTGGGTAACACTGAACGTCAGGATGGAGCAGTGGAAATCCCATTTTTCAGAGGAAAGACAGTGATTGGGGCGGCGGTGGGGCGTAGTCACAGTGTTGTCCTTACTGAAGGTAGTGTGAGTACTGATTAGTCCTGTAAGATTGCTTTCATTATTACATTAGTGTAGACTGCCAAGTCTTCTTGCATATCATTATTACAAGATCTCCAGAAATTATAATTTAATCCATGTGCGGTATAACGTCAAAGTAAAGTCGTAATAGTTTGACTGGTTGTTGGCGTGTCTGGATTACATTATTCAATATAATCATTTAATTAACCCCCAGAGGAGGGCGCATTTGCGATGGGAGACAATGAAATGGGACAGCTGGGCATTGGTTCTAACGTCGGCAAAGGATCCTCAGTGACCACTCCAAAAGCTGTACAACTCCAACAGAAAGTGAAGCATGCCGCTTGCGGGTTTGATTATTCCCTGTTTGTCACTGTTAAAGGTTTCTTGTACAGTGCAGGGAGCAGCGAATCAGGGCAGCTGGGTATTAATGACAACGGCGAGTACATCGAAGGAAGAAGGGTACGCTTTTTCTAATTAATTCCCCCCTCAAGGTCTAATTACCACATTTACAACCATCACTAGAGTTTTAACCGCTGCTTATTTTGCTAGATATCATCTTTCTGTTGTCTACATTTCGGCGACATATGAGACGGTTGTTAACATTCTTATGAGCCGAACTCTATAATACTGTAAACAAAGTATTGTCTATGCTACTCACGTATTGACTAAAGACCTGTATTGTTATTTCAGTTGTTCTATTCAACGCACGCATCACCTACTCGTGTGCACTCTTTCTTTACAAGAGATCCGAGGACCAAAGAGGTTACAAGAGTTCCCAATGTGTTGATACGTTACGTATCAGCGGGGCAGCATCATTGTGTAAGTACTAAGTAATGTGGGACAATGGTGTAACGTTAGTAGTAATGGGAATACGACAATATTCTCGCGTTTGAAAATTTATCGTATATTTTAGGGAACGCGCGAAAAGGTTTTGGTGGTTAAAAGTTGTAATCTTCCATCGAGAAAGCACGTTTTCTTTGTGCGCGCGATCTGTAAAAATTTTGGCGGATGATGCAAATACATCCCGAAAGCACCAAATCACATCATCTTCTAATCGTAATGTGCGACCTTGACGTTATATTTATATTACGTAACGATTTCTCTACTATTTCGGTTGTGACCTACTTCAATCCCGGATAAAATACCTGCTAACCGGGACTCTAACTTCCGCAGCTAGCAGTTTCCGATAACGATGAACTTTATACGTGGGGTTTCAACGGACACGGCCGACTTGGACACAGAACCACTGAAAATGAGCTAATCCCTATGAGAGTTCTTCACTTTCGACCGGGAGATAAAAACTCCTGCGTTAAAGTAGGTGCTAATTGCGACCTGATTACCAAATATTATGACACATATTATCCTCGTTCAGTAATATTATTATCATGATAATCATCCAGTTTACATCATTCATGATCCTATGTGAAGTATGTAGCATTACTAGTGATCTGTACTCACAACAGTAACTACCTTGTTTTAGATTGCAAAGTGCTCGTACGGAGGCTGTTTTGCGGTGAACAACCTTGGCAACATGTACTGTTGGGGACAGAACCAGATAAACAGGCTGGAATGTCCGTACCCTATCCCAGTTGAGGACCTCTACGGATGGAATGTTAACGACATCGGGCCCGGGTGCGTTTTCCTCCAAACAGTAACTTAAAAATATAATTGAAACGTGCAGTTCGGATTTATCTACTCTCTCTTTCTCCTATAATATAAACGGCAAATGACCTTGTAACGATGATTCGTATTATGTATTGCCATTGAATTAGATCATACATTAATACACGATAAATTACCAAAGTTAGGAGAGTTGACTGGTTGTTAACGTTGGCTGGAGTGTAATTTACCGTGTCAACACCTCTCCAGATTCATATTTATGTTTCATTCGAGTGCTCAAATTTCAGGAAAAATCATCACGTTATTGCGGCGGACTTTTCCAGTATAGCCATGGGAAAAGCTACCAATGGTGAACTGGTAAGTTTCTCTAAGTGTGGGCCATGATTCAAGATTGAGTTTCATCAGATCACGTTTCCACGAACGACTATTTGTCGTGTACATGTTACTGCAACACTCCCCAAACATGAAACATTTCTGCACCTGCTGCGGCTGTGAATGTAATATGCTGTAATTTTATGTTTTCTGTTCTCAGGGACTAGGCCCCTCTAGGAAGAGTTCAAGCCGACCCGATAAGATGCAGAAGGTCGACGGACTTAAAATATTGCAGGTTTAAAAGAATTAGCTGGGCAAACTTTTTGTGGTTTTCACGATAAAAAGGATGTGAAATATGAAATTTTTGTTTACATAGAGATCAAAGAAATCATGCATTACAAGAAATCATGCACAAAAGGTGACACGTTATCATTTCAGGTGGGAGCAGGAACTGCACACACGATCCTTCTAGCAGCCGACGATGACGACGAGGCTAAAGAGATCCTGAAGAAACTAGAAGTAAACGATGACTAAACTCTAAATGCACCTCCCAACACTACAGGCCTCCTATAGAGCTGTCATTCGTACGGCCCACCACATCGCCAAAAGAGACTAAAGTGAACTTTTAAAAACGCACAGATAGGACGTTCCCCAAAGAGACTGAATCCACCCCTAAAATAACATGTTCGAGCCAGAGATTCTAGGATTGTCTGAGAGGACGGTTCCGAAGAGTTAGGCTCCATATTCTGGGGCTAGGACACGCTCAGATAGTAGCAGTTTTTAATCATTGTGAATTTGTAGATATTCCGCCACCAAACAAAACGCTGCCTATATTCTATTTGATATTTATATTTTGATATACTACATACTACTTGAAAGGAATTGATTTTTACAATAAGCAGTTTAGTATACTTAGATAACGCCTTTTTCGACAGATTTCATGACAAATTTCGGGTTTTTTGACGACCATGAAGTTATGCTTAGCTTGATTGCAAATATGAATATACTACATCCATCGTGTCGTCCTTTTATCCCACCCTATTTTGATCCCTAACTATAAAGTATATCACCTATCGGGCCTTACCTTGTCTCTACATTTGATTTATCAGCCGAGTTCAACTTATAATTATGTATATTAAAAAACGCTTAGTAAGCTCCAACCACGTACCCCTGTCAGCTGTCACGTGAACATTTAATTCACATAGAATTTAAACAGGTGCTCTCAGTAAATATCTGATGTGCGATCTCTAGACTAATTAGCAGATCACTGCCTACATACGGTCTTGTAATATATCGTTCCCTCGTTATTTGGGCTTCTCTTTAAACTCTCCATGGTCCACCCTGTACTATTGATTAAAATATAAAGTGCCTTTTCATTATTACCACCCCTAGCACTGTTAAAGGCTTACATTTTTAAATTAACACAATACATCTCCTCCTTTGTTTGACTAGTAATGATGATGATTTATATAACTAAAACTTAAGTTTGGTTGAGTTAATTTCAAGACGTAATCTAATTTCTTTAGTATCACACTTGAATAACTTTACATAAGTTCTTAATATTATCGTATAGAAACATTGCAGTTGTCATTCTTGATGTATCACTGATTTCTTATGTAATTGTAATCTTCTGCTCCAACTTTGAGCAGTAAAACAATTTATAGACTTATTCAATTATAAAGTCGTCTTATTCTGTTTTAAATTCCACAAAAAACATGCCCATAAGTTTCGTCAGAAATGTGAATTGATGCGTAAGTTTGCAAGCTGAGTAGAAAAATTACTCTAAAGAATAAACCAATTAAATAAGTTTTGGATCAGCTAATAAGAAAAATTATTAATGATAAATTACAAAGATGTTAAAGTCATGTAACCTTTGTTAACAGAGATTTTAGCGGTTTCCTCTCAATTGACATGGTTTGCAAATAGCATAAAACTTTACCAGTTGATGAAATGTTTGTTCCTCCTAACAGTTGGGAAACTCAACTGGAAGATCGTTAAAAATGGACTAAAAACACTAATGTAGCGTTAGCAGTTAGATTATCACTCGAAAGACACCTCGTAGTTTCCCCAGTTCTCCAAAATTCTGCGAAGGTACGCAAACTCTGAGTCGCTCAGTAGTTCCGTGGCCCACGGATCACACTTGAGAGGTTTTCTCTTCTCTGACAGAGCTGCTGGAGAGTTAACTCCGAGACTTGTCTCGTGACCTTCTGTCAGACTGTTCTCGAGAATAGATGGTCCGTTCTCTAGAGCTCTGTTCAGACCCGTCAGACCCCGGGCTGCTGCCTCGTAGGAGAAATATTCCACTGGGAGGCAGTCCTCGTATATGTCGTTAAAGGAGCTCGCCACGGATGCTCTACCGGTAACGTTGGTCAAAACTTCACTGACGAGTCTTTCTGTTACTTCCCGCAGTTCCTCTTCATATTGTTCATTCTGAGTGGTGTAATCAGTTTGGTCCCAAGTTAACCATGACTCATCATCTGTTGAACCCTCGTAACTATTACCAGACAGATATTCTCTTTGTCTTTGCGGGGACCTCTCTTCAATGGACCGAATCTCTTCCTTCAATAGGTCAGAGGAATCTGGGATAGATCGGCTGATTTGCAGTTCACTGCCAGATGAACACCACTCATGTTCCGATATCTGCCACCCTGTGTGTGAATACCGCTCATCGAACGATTCTGGTTGATCTCCTGATAGATATAGGACGCGGGGGTTCATCGGGAGTGGTGGTTCGTTTTCTATTTCTTCTAAAGATGGCGCAGATGGTTCCAGAATAGAATCTTGCGAGAATCTACTCATCGGAGTTGAGTTACTATCTTCAGTGAATCTACTGATCGGAGTGGAGTCTTCATCTGGATTTACCTCGGAAGACCTGGATTCTCGAGATGTTTCCTCGATCTCAGGCAGTTTGAGAACAAACAGACTAGAGGAAGATTCACTGTGACAAACATATGGCTCGTTAACATTAATATCATTATCTTGTTCTACCGTCAGATGATCACTAACTTCCACATTCTCTCCCATTTCCTCCACCATATCCTCTTCTATCTCATTCTCCTCAATCTGAGCGCTGGTTGGCTGTCCCTGTCTGCTGTCATACCTGACCACAATGATCTCCGATATTGTAGCAGAGAACTGCTCCATTTCATGTCCCGGATAACTGGCTTCTGACAGACAGGATTCTATGCCACTTTCAGAGCCGGAGTTCAGTCTCCCATACTCATCTACCATTTCACCTGAAATGTTATAATTATTATTCGTCCAGTTCTGTACGCAACAGGGTTGTGGTTTCGTCAGGAGGGAATTGTCGTTAAACCCTTATACATCTACAGATTTTAGTAATGACGACGAAGAGAAAATTATTTAACTTAATAATAATATAATAGTGCCCGGATTTACAAATTACGTCGGTCAGACAATTAAAATGGGTTGGCTGATCAGCTGGCACTAAGTCCCAATAAAGGAATAGTGTATCTTCTTTCCCAGTTTCCATGGATACGATAGAGTTTGTTTTGGTACAATGTACTGTGTATAGTAGAGTCAGTTTCCATAACACATAAACGGATGAACTAATTTTGTTTTCAGTTACGTCACATCACTGGACGACAGACGCCTTGCTAACTTGAAGCTTGTGTATATTGTGTAGTATAGGTGTACAACGCCAGTGCATTGTGCTTTAACGATGTACAAGTTTGAGAACTAGTATTGTCTTCTCGGTTATTGTCCGTAATATCAAAGTTTTCATTGTACTTGCTCAACGTTTTCAGTGACCAGATTAACTGGATGAAGGCTCAGTTTTTAACTATCAACTCATGTAGGAGATCGGGTTCTAGTTTTATGTTTACATATTAGTTATTACCACTCAAGTAATCAGATGTAGTTTATGAATTATGCATGTTGCTCTTAGATCTGGTGGTCATGATTATTTAAATAGTTGATGAAATTATAAGTCACCGAGTAACTGCTACTAGAGAAATAGCATAGCAAAATAATCTACCGTGTAAAATTTTGTGTACGTTGGTAATGTAGGTGCTAAATTTAATTTAGCTTTTCTAGGAAGAGAAATTGTATTTTATGGTCCTCGAAACTGGGTCATTTGTTATGCTCTCATTGTGAAGTGAGTTATTTAGTGGTACGATGTGTTCGTATTGTTTATTATTCAGTTGTCTGAGATGTTTTACACCATTTAAACTATCTTTACCTCTCATTTGCTCCTCAAGACGTCTGATAATATTGTCTATAGCCGAATCGGTACGCTCTGACAGTGACATTTCTCCCTCGGACTCTGATGCTAACCCATTCTCTGAAATTGTTCCACAATTAATATTTCTATAGAGCAATATTGCTATGTTCGAATTAAGAATCTAATTAAAACAACTATAACATAAGAATCAAAGATACAACTTTTACTGCTCATCATAGCTTCCTTAAACATTAGAATTTAGATTAAAAGGCTGTAAGATCACATACCTGATTCGCAAATGTTATAATATTCATCCGTGTCCACAACCGCTTCGCTCTGTTTCTGTTCACAGTTTTCAGGTTCTTCCTCAGTAGAATTAACAAACTGTTCTTCCTCGACCAGCTCTATATCAGAGATATCCTCATTTATCAGTTCCTCTATCTTATCCTCCAAAGAGTCACACAACCCAATAATCTCCCAGCTACTACTGCTAATCTCCTCACTAGGCGTGCTACCAAGTGTGGAGTCGGTGCATTCCCCGAATTGGCTGCTTACTGGAGAACAATTTTCTATGAAAACTTTTATTTTCTCTGGAGACATCAGTGATGTAGAGGAGAATTCTACACAGTCCTCTGTTTGGCTTATTTCATGACTTACAGATTTACCTGTAGCGTCAGATCTGGGTATTACCAACGAACTAGGCGGACTACAAGCACACGGGCTCGTATCAAACCAATCCTCCTCAGAATCAATTGAAGTGCGTACCTCATCTGCTACAAATGTTAGATCAGTTTGAATGCTTGTCGAGCAGATTCTAAACACAGGGTTTCTCAAATTAGCGTCAACTTTACACATCGGACAGGGACCAGCAGCATGTCTAGGAGAGATGGGATCACAACTATCGGGGCTAGCAGGAGTCGAGTGTCTAGAACACAAGTTGAAACCCCTGATGGGAACCGGGGTGCTGCCCCATGATACGTGACCTGAATCAGATTTGTTAGAGGAGCTACTTCCACTCAGGATCTCAATTACATCCGGACTTATCTCACCCTCAGCCCATAGGTTGTCTACCAACAAAGGTGATGCTTTTGACGCTTCGGATAGCTCAAAGACTGGAGTCGGAATATCAACAAGCCCAAAACCGGGCGAAAGTTGATAGACATTCGTTTTGTCAGATGGCGGATTCTTTATCATCATGTCAAACCTCTGAAATATTAGATCCAGACTGTCCGGTAGTGAAACGTCCGATAGTCCACGTTTGTGGGTTGGTAGGTGTGATTCCTTATTGTCCACATTCTCAGATAAATTTACAATTGTATCTCTAATTGAATCTGGTGTTTCAACTCCATCAGTTATTTCTTCAGATATTTGATCAGCCACACTAGATGATTCGTCAGGAATTTCTGTCGATCCAGAAGATTCTCCGACAAGTTGGTCACTGTTGATCTGGTCTAAGCAAACTTCTTCACCAGTTTTTGCAACCAATTGACGGTTTTTGTACTCACTTAAATCATTCCAAATAATGGAATCTATCAAAATAGAATTAGGTGTAAGTACATCCTCCATAGGGTCAATCTCGACTTGTGGGGTGTCCTTATCACGTTCTCCAATTTCCTGCTCCTGTATGTCACTTATTGAGCTAATCTCTAAATAGTTTAGCTCTTCTTGTACTGCGTTGTCTCTGTCATAGATCATTTTACCGATGAGATCCACAGACTTGAGAGTCAGAGAATTTAATGGTATTTTAAATGATGGAATCGGACTCACCCTTTCTAATGAGGTCAGATCTTGGCTGTTAGAATCCGAGATCCCAGAAACTGACAATGAATGCTCCGATGCTTCTTGAGCATCCTCCTGATCGGCAAGCTCTAGATCACTTTTTGATTCTTTGACTATGAGCTCTGACTCTTTTTCGTGATGCCGCGATTCAAATTCATAAACTTCAGGCATCGGATCGCCTGGTTTAGAATCGACCGAATCGACCACAGGTGTACGTAAAAGTACACTGGACAAAAGACAGTCAGAAAGTAATGATAATGAACTACTGGGCCTTGATTCAGACTCTGGATTGTTATCTTCTGCGGCTACATTCAGTTCCACTACATCAACGTCTTGTTCCTCTTTAACCACCTCTGGCATCTCTAACATAGGTATCGGCTCTTCTTTGATCATTTCCAGCTTTTCTGAATCAATCTTTGATTCCTCTTCGACAAACTCTATTTCCTCGTCGGAACCCGCAAGATATTTTATTGGCTGCGTTGCTATAAGCTCAATATTATGGGGCATGTTTTTCAGGGTATACTTAGATTCACCCGAAAAGGTGGCACTATCACATGAATTATCAAATTCTTCATCATCTTCTCTTGGAGGACTCACAGATGATGACTCGGCCCCTTTTTGTATCTCTGCGAACGACAATTGCTCTGTCCTCGAGGTCATGCTATCTCGAAGGAAAGCTTCATATAAAATGTCTTCATCGCTAGACTCCCCTCCTCCCTCACTATCATCATCAGTGTCTGTATAAACATCCGTATCTACCTCAGTGTCCGTATCAACACATCTCTCGCTCAGATCGTCCAGGTCAGGTCCCGACGCTAAGGAGGCCACGTCAGAGATAATATCATCTATCAATGTTTCCTCCAAAACTCCATTTTCTGTTACCAGCTCGTGAAACAGAGGGTGTTTCTCGTGAGGGGAGTTTTGTTTTCCCGCTTTATCTGGGATTTTATTTATGTAAAATTATCAAATTAATCGAGACCACAAGTTTAGACCTCAATAAGCATCGAAATTTTATTAACCACTGATCGAAAAAATCTCAACCGAAAAAAGTTATTAAATCACTTATCACACTCACGAGAGAGCATACTGAGCTGCTGCATGTTGATGTCAGGGATCTGAAAGTACTGAACTGAGTCAGAAGTATCTGGAGTGATATCACTCTCGTCTTCTGATATCAACTTTGTTTCCACCAAGTGCTCTTTTGCAGCAAAACTAACTTTTCTCTGCTTCTTCTTTCGTGACCTTTCTTTTATTTTATAAACCACTGAAATTCATTACCGGCTAAGTCAGTAAGTGGTATTAAATAAATATATTGATGATCAAGTGCAGGGCAATAGTTTGAAAAAGTGAACTGTTAATATATTCTAACCTTTTGAGATGCTTGCTGACATCTCATATTTGTTGCTTTAAACTTGTTGTATGGTTACATGAACTCCTGCCGAAATAAGGTAAGAAATGGTACTACTAATTCATAATTGAAAATTTATTGCGGTAAAACTTTAATTAAGAGGAATTTGCTTTTAATGAATCAAGCTTATCGTTAATAAAACTCTGATAAGTATACATCTAGGAGAAGAGGAATAAATGATTAACTACACAATCTCTACATAGTGTAAGGTGAGGAAATCTAAAACTGCTTTAAATTGATCAACTATCATATATTGCATAACAAAGACATCTCATAATTACATTGAATCGAAACGATTTGTTTCAGTCCTATAATAAGTGGAGTATAATAAGTGGAGAATAAATTTGCCATCAAATAATTTCAATGATATGAAAGTTATTGCAATTGCTGCAAAACAAGCTCTTCTGCCTAAGAGAATTGAACTGAAGTAACCTCTCATGTTGATATTCCATAAACAGTTTATCCACCACGTGACAGAAACCACTTTCACTTTCACTTTCACTTTCAACAGAACTGTACAGCTGTTTCTCTTGATCTGACCTACCAGCCTTTGTTTTAGGAGGTTTATCGACGTTAAGATTTTGTGACCTGCGCTCCTTCCCCTTCCCTCGAAAACTTTTGTTTGACTGAAAATACACATGGTCTTCCCACATGTTTTCGACGCTTAATGTGCCTTCAAGAATCACGTTATACTTGCCCCATTTGGCTAGTACTTTGATGATACTAAACAATTCTTCGTCATCGCTCCAAATTGATTTCAAAGCATCATGAATCTCGATAAAATCATCCCCTGGCAGCCAGGAGACATCTCCATCAAAGTTACGTATATCTGAATTCTCAGAGGAATCATCAAACGAGTTCTTTTCATCAGAAAAACATGAATCAGAACGATCTGCGTCCCAAACATGACTGGAGGTTTCTTCTCCGGATTCCGGCTCTGTGATAGTTTCAAATGAGTAGTGCGAGGTAGTATCACTTTCTGAGTCATCTACATGACGTATTGTAATGACGTCTACCTCAGAACATGAATCAGAGCATCCGTCATCAACACCCGTTTGAATAGACTCTATTTCATATTCCTCAATATGTACTGGTTCACTTATGTTATGATCATTTTGGTGGTCATGATCATCAGGTGAGCTATCTTGATACCCAGCTAAATGTTCTCGTGTAGCACTGACACCACCCTGTTCAAGCTCTGCAGGAGCGGGGCTTTTGTTGTAAAGTGAGGAGACTGTTAACATTTGGTTCATACAATTCTCGAGCCTGTCAAATTGTGGAAATACGCTCATAGAAGTATCTAGATGATTTTCATATTCCGAGCCTGAGTCAGACTTTATAGAAGCTCTGGATCTTTGAATGTTGTAAGAATCTATCTCGTCCACTATGAGCAAATCTTCGATGCTCTCAATGTCTTCAGAAAAATCATCGAACTCCGCTTCTAAACCTGAATCTACTGATCCTGGGGAGAATTGCCTGGTTTCCTTGAGCATATTGGTGGTCAAAGAAGCTATCTCTTGTTCCAAAGGATTTGCTTTTGTTTTAACAGTTAAAGCGTCAGTGAATACCATTTTCTTTTGTTCCACCGAATACCAGGTCTTCTTTATGGGTTCTTCCTCCTTTTGTACGTTAACAATTTCATCCTCAACTATCGGTATCATCTTATTATGTCTTGATGCCAGAGCCGAGAACAGTTCCATGCTAGGTAGGGAGATATCAGGACAAACCATCCCACTTTCTTTTAAGTAGTTGAGTGGAGATACTGCCTCAACGAACGGGCAAACTTCAAACTGAGTTCTGGGAGCAGTATCCCTACTGAAATATTGTCGGGTATTATTGTATAGGGTACTACTACCGCCGTCTTTGTTAAATGGATCTTTTAGCAAAGGATTTACAAACGCAGTTGTATCCCCACCATATGGTTCATCGGTCAAATGATTTGGATGATGTTCATGGTGTATCATCTCCTCAATCTCGTCTCCGGAATGAACAGATGAAGAAGCGGAGATTGTAAATCCCAGCTCTCCTTCAGACAGATTCGATTCAGAGATAATTGAAACTGAGTCTGACATTAAGGAAGTAACTGCTTCTAAAGAATCGCCACTGTCTTTCCTTCCAGAACAATATGGTGACACTTCAAATAATTTCTCCACTTCTTCAACAATAGCCTGCGGACTATTTGATCGTATATCTAAACAATCATTGTACTCGGATTCCTGAACAAACTCTAGTGGTTTCAACTGTGACCGAGTGACTTTAGTTTCAGGCAAATGATTTATCTCCTCGTACTCACTGATAGAAGGAAGAGAACAGGAGTCTGACAGCAAATCTTCGAATCCTTGCGTGTACCTGCTCTTACGCTTCCTTCGAGGGAAACGTGACCTGATTTTGGAGAACAAGTTTCTTTTTCGAGGTTGCTGGTGGACTTCTAACATATCAAATCATTCTTACATCTTGTCTTCTAAGGCTGAATTATTTTTTTAAATAGTTGCTCATCATCGAGTTAAGTTCAAAGTTGGTAAACTAATTATAATATTTAAACGTCTTCTTCTTTAAGATACTTAGATAGCAAGTTTCGTTTAAAATAAGGACCAATAAACTAAAATGTTCACTGAGACGGCGATAGCCTCGTGAATGAACAATAATAAAGCAAGCAAGATTAAACTAACAAACAGAGTGTTTTAACAATAAAGCAAGAACTCTCAGTTGTCTCAGTGTAAGACGTTAAATGTTGAGGTTAAAAGTGAGTGAAAGATTGTGTGTTGCGGAGGTCTTGTAAAAAGTAAAAACAATGTCTGCTAAATCACACATAGATCGGTTTCAGTATAATCAAGCTGGTAATGAGGTCAGGTCGTCGTTTTCTTACAGCGTTCGATGTCTGTGTGAAGGTAAAATGGTGACATCCTCTCCCATTACCTTAGTATTGCTATACAACTACTACATAATCAAGCTGGTTTGTTAATATTCTCTATCCGGTGGGGTGATACGGAATCAGGGAAAAACAAACAGCTATACAGCTACAGGTTTCCGCACCAGCCGCACTTAAATGTTCCCTCTGCGCGAAAGTTATTAAGAGTGTACGGGTACAAAACCAACATAGATAAAACATTGAAGAAGAGCCAAGTTTGAGCTAGAATATGAAACAATTGCACTGCCACACTTGAAATTTGTTTCTGATAAGGCCGGCGGTAGTAAACTGACCACAGTCCACAGCTATACTTAATAAACCATATCATTCCCAATTTATTACTAAACTTTGAACTTATTTTCGATTTTTCACGTTTTGAGTACGCCTTGACTTTTAGAGTTGATCAGTACGATTAGAAATGCTGACGGGTATATTGGTTCAAGGCTCTGTAGGCCTAAAACTTATCCATTTAGTTACTAATAATATGTAAATAATAATTAGTACGTCATAGCGCCTTCGCTTCAAATAGCAAACACGATATTACATATCTATATCATTCATCGATAGTAATACTTGTCAACATACTTTGCTTACATTATCCTATCAGCTAGTGGTAATTAACTCTCAAGTTTGAATCCAGAAGAGTTTACACAACCACCTAACAGATTCTATAACATCATCTAATATTATTCCCCTAATCATCGGACCTGCTAGTGCTTGACTAGCTGCGTTTTTCTTCTCTATCTAGAAGCCTTTGTTTTTATCGTTTATTTGAAATACTGAGCTGGGGAACTGTTCTTTGTTAATAAATTAACGACAACATTTCTGAGTATACATTTCACTAATAGTAATCAAATGTTGATCATGTGCCCAATCGCAAGTCGCATGGTTGGTGCATACTGCATATTGTTCTTTCGGTGACTCCAGATTAGTTAGCTTCACACAGTTTTTAGATATTTGAGTATTTGTACTGTATAATTATTGTTTTCGATATGCTTGTATTATATCTCCTTTTTCACTGAAATTGCCAATAAGTCATTTGATAGACTCAATTATTGACATCGTCTTATCGGTCATTTAAAGTTCGGAGTATATGGGTTAAATCGCCATTAGAACCATGTCAATGGAGTCAGTTTTAGTGGTCGTCTAGTCGGTGGAGGCATTAAATTATAGTGAGGTGGAATGACAAAATTTATAAAGGTGTTCAAGTCACTACACATGTTATACCATCACCAATCAGCATCATCACCATGGTATTTATTTCACGATTGTTCTCATAGATATCCCGATAGCAGTATTCAGATCTGAAATCTTTGGGACTCGCATTAGATGATGTTATACATGAGTACTTAATATGCACAGTAATTCATACAAACTTTGACAAGCAAAAGTTATATACACGCCAAACGTTAGTTTTCGTTTTTGCAGATGTACTGGTATAAATCATTTTATTTCAACTCACGGACATTAAAATCGAGTTTTTTTTTCAGTTGTGATTTTTAGATAGCGTTGAAGTTAAATAACAACTTGATAAGATCTGTCAGTTTTTGTTTAAATGATCTAATATTTCATTCCGAAGAGTGTTTGCCCACCACAAAACTTGATAATGACGTTTATATTACTCTAGCCAACAGGTCTGGGATACAGGTTTAGTCTCATGGTATGACAAGACTTTTACTCTTGGCTATCAGGTAAACAACGTACTTTTAATTCCCACTTCATATTATAGTCTGATTCAACAGATAAGGTCTCCTATCTCAATTTATTTTGGTAGGCTTCAGTACCACCCACCTATCTGATAAGTAGGGCACTGAAGCTGATAAATTATCAGCTTCATTAAATTACCGCGTTGGGTTCAAAAATGTCACATTTTTTAGAGTTAAGGATTTTCTGTGAAAAACGTAATACAATTTGAAAACTTAATAGGTACCTGTCCGTAGAACGTGGTCCCCATTCACACTAAATTGCACACAGTTTGTTTGTCGGAACAGGGTGCGAGGTACACAAGGGCAGGTACGTGACTTTGGATGGTGATGAGATCCAGTACTTCATTGAGAACGCAGATCACCATGCTACACTCCTTCTTAACCTCATCAAAGAGGTTTCTCATGGTTCGTTATGCCTATGAGTATGGGATGAAACAGGATTTCTGTAGGTGCTGATTTTTAATTTTACTTGTTATAACGTAAGCATTGTTGGAGTTGTTTAAAGACGTTTTACTTTACTCTGTTTCCAGACCCGTTAGTGAATGCTACCTACAGCAAAGGAAACGGAGATATCAGGTTCCATATTCTGGGGAATGATCATTTCGAATCGACTGAAGAAGACTTCGAAGATGAAGCTGCAATCACCAGGGAACTCATGGAAACTGGCTTAGGAAAGTAAGTGATTGCACGACATCTCAGCTACGATGACCGAACCATTTATTAAATATTTGAAGCCATACATACCCTCTGTACTGTATTCAATGAAATTTTGCGAAACTTTCAGAAATTCTAAGTTTGACCCATATCTATATTCTTTGAATTTTTTCTGAAATTCTGATACGAATAACTGATAACGTGAGTTATTAAAGGGTTGCGTGTGGGTAGTTACTTTTGGGCCACCCTGCAATATCTTATAGTTATGATACTTATTAACATCAACGTTAGCTTAAAATCAACTATAAACGCTATTATTGTAAAGCTGTCATTCCTCCAGGAGTTTACCAAAGTTGTCGCGTCACGTGTTCGAAGAGACTGGTGTGACTGGTAGAGAAAATGAGGGGATGATGCTTCTCCACCAGATTGCAATGTTCAGCCACAACTTTCAGTTAGTACTTTGTAGATAATATGTGATAACTTTCGTAATTTGCACGTTTAAGACCCCGATAAGTGAGTTAAGATTATTAAAACTATTAGTTACTTTACATGACACCACTCACCTCCATTACAGCGAGGGAGCCCACACACCGCCACACCGACAGAAGCGGAACGCTCTGAGTCACATGTTCGGAGGAAATGACGGGGAGGAGTTGAGTAACGAGGTGGAGGGAGTATTCCCTGAGGAAATAGTCAAGATTTGCAACGGCGAGACACTCTATCAACACGGCGGCTGTACTATAGATCTGGGTGTCGAGTCTAGTGAAAACGTTTGTGTAAAACAGTAAGTTTCAGTCATCAAATTTATCTGATGTATAGAAAATTATATAATCAGTGTTAGTTAGTCATTTTTTTGGATCCCAATATCAAATATGGTGAATAATAAATTGTCAAGGATTGGATTTTGAAATTACCAGCCATCAAGACTTCGCACTCGAGCAAGATATTATCCTCGTATACATCTCCCAGTGACGAGTACAAATCCCCCAGTGACGATTACGACTTTGGAGAGGGTTGGGCTGTGGTGCATCAGTTTTCAGCTGACGAGATCTCGAAGGGGTGTTACGGTTTATGTGGTCCGTGGTGCACGTGTTGGAGCCAACTGTGTGGCGACTGCTGCTGGCATCCCGGCTGTTACCAGCATGACAAATACTGTGACAAACCCACGTCCTTGTCCTGTAAACTTGGAAGAGGAGTTACTTTCGGAAGGAAGGGACTTCACACTTGCTAATTACTTTTTAGTTATTCTTGAGAACTAGAACTGTGGATTGTACGCGCTTCGTACATCGTAGTGTTTACTTTTAGCTTATTACTCATGAGTCATGCCAGTTTGTTTAATTTGACTTATGCTTCATAGAATTTATCAATTATAATATGTATGTATATTAGTTCATGGTTCAATTATTAGAAACAAAAATGTTTTGATGTGTATATCATATATGTTAACGGGTGATACTCGTAAAATATTTGTTTCAAATATAGGACCGTCGACGAGACGACGAGTCCAACTCGGCGCGCGTCCTGGTAGTGGTAGGTTATAAACCTACTACAATGTATATGTTATATTTATATAATTGTATGATAAGTTTTAAATAATTAAAAAGTAAAATTAAATCAAAAATCTTCCTCATCCTGGCTCCTGCACAGCAATCTTTTATCAACTATCAAGTTTTGAACCATGAACGACGTTAACGGGTGATACTCTGTACTCGTAAAATATTTGTTTCAAATATTAGGAGTACTTACTTGTACTTGTACTTGAAAAGGTCTCCTCCTAGTCGTTGGAGTGGCCTGCACCACATAGTAACTCCTTTCTCCGATGTATTAGGCCTCTCCAATGTACCCTGTTTGTTGCTTGTTGTTCTGCATCTTCTATCGTGATGTTATCGACACCTGTGAAGATTGCTGCATCCTCCCGGACACATGACAGCCAATTTTTCCGAGGTCTACCTCTTGATCTTTTACCATGCTTTGGGATCCAGTGCAGAAGATAGTTTGGTATTCTTTCTTCTGGCATCCTCACCACATGGCCAAACCATCGGAGCCTAGCTGCTCGCACGAAAGTATCAACAGGGGCGATGTTGGCCCGCTTACGTACGTCAGCATTAGATACGTGATAAAACCATTTGATTTTCAGGATTCTTCTCAGACATCTGTGATGGAACACCTCAAATCTTTTCATCTGCGTCTGTGTGGTATTCCATACCTCACTTCCATAAAGCAGTATAGTGAGGACAGCCGCTTTGTAGATCCTGATTTTAGTCGGTGTCTTGATGTTGCGACTGTACCATATACTGCTAAGCTGATAGAATGCCCCAGAGGCCTTCTGAATTCGAGCTGATAGTTCTTTGTCGATTGTTCCATCCGCACTGATGATAGCACCCAAGTAAGTGAAGCTGCTGACCTGCTGTATTGGGAGACCTTCCACATTGATGTCCATAGTGTCGTCTTTAGAATACGGCCTCTGCGATGCACTTTTACTGACAGCCATGCTCTGTGTTTTGCCAGCATTAATCTTCAGACCCGCATAGGCACTGTATTTGCAGAGAAGGTCAGTGGTTTCCTGCAGCCCCTCTTTTGAGTTATCTAACATGGCCATGTCATCAGCGTAATCAGTGTCCAAGAGATGTTTCTCTTCTACCCCGGGGGCTGGCAGCTGTAATAGAGCCCCCTTACTAATGACCTTGTTCAGTTCCATAAGGTATGCCGAAAAATTCAGACAGAAGTTGATTAGGAGTAGGACCTTCAAATATTATAGTAGAAGCTCTTACGGGCAAAAAGACGTGTTTTCTGCTACGAGTTTAGAGACCTAACCGCTAATTAAGCACAATAGTATGATGTCTAAGGATCGATAATATGTTAAGAAGTATAAATTTGGCCTTATTAGTCACGTGCTATACCAATGCGCGTTTTAAACTTTGACAGTCTATTACTCTAAGGCAAATAAAGTAATTATATTCATATTTTGTCAGCAATAAGATCACATTATTTTCTATTTGGTGTGAAAATATGAGCTAGAACGGACATAATCTCGCTGAGTTATAGCTGTTTGAAATTTATGATGAACGCGCGGGTGCCAATTGATAACAACTAAATGCTTTTGCGCGTAGTGCGCGTCGAAAATTTGGCAAAAACGCTTGCGGAGTGAAAATATTCAAACTTCGATAAAGTATATGAAGTGGGTACTTCTCGGAAAGGAAAAATTTAGACAAACACGATGTGACTATTTTTGGGTTGATTTAATACAACTCCAAAAACTTATTCAAACTTCAAGCAAAAAAGTCAAAATTTTTACCACTTTTTTGGATTTTTACCTGCGCTTAAATAGAGGGATTTGTTTTATTTTTATACCATCTTGTGCGGCTGTCTTTTAGCTATCTTCATGCAAGTTTTGCCGACATGCCAACAAAATTAACTTGCCCAAATTATCAAAAAACATGGTTTTTTGGCCTATTTTTGGCCCCAAAATCGGTTTTTTGCGATTTTAACCGCGCTAACTCAGTCCAATCATTTTGAAACCACTTTTAATCGATTCTACGGTCAAAAATACGTCTAGTAAGGTGTATCTGGGGTCCCTAGCGTATCGAACAGACAATGCCCGTAAGAGCCTCTACTATAGATGGTTGGATATGCTTTATATTTTTCGGACACTTTCCTTGTAAGTCTATGATTAAGCTTAAAAATTTTTGTTGCAATTGGAGGTCGGGAAGGATATAATACTTAATATCTATTTGTTTGAAGAAAATTGTGCTGGCCTAAATTAGCGCTCCTACTATACAGTCGGCACGCGCGGCTCACTGTCTGCTGTCGAGGGCGCACTACCTATAATCACAATCCGAATAGAGATTCGGCGGAATGACAGGCTGAGCGCCGCCCAGTAACGATGGGCATGGTTCACGTCAACTTCAACTTCAAGCTGCGAAGGATTGACATGAGACATCGTCAGTTAATTTGCTTATATTAATATATGATGTATGAGATAATATCAAATATGCACTGTAAATTGTAAGTGTAACCGCAATTTTGGAATTCCCTGTACCTATTTTTACATGAGGCTGCAGAGTGCAGCTTAGCAATGCCAATATACCGTACAATCATGAAGTGTTCATTAATACAATTACACAATTACACAATAGTTATTGGGATTTCAAATAAATAAATTCAAAATTGGTGCGCCGCGCGTCGCACACGAAACGCGCGATTAAATATCAAAATAGAAAATAATTTTATGAAGGAGCATTTCAAGTTTGTGCAATGTGCTCGATCTTGCTTCCCATTATATTAGTTTTTCCATATTTGATATTCATATTAGTTTTTTAGAGGATTTTCTGGACGTTTTTCATTTGTATTTTGTAGAGAATAATACACAATATATGTTTTGACTATTTTTATTCGTAGTCGTACAAAACTTTTAACTTGACTTTCGGTTTTGAAAAAATTATGACCCTCTCTGGAGAAATGAAGTTGGAGATAATCAAGAGATATTATTCAAATGATAAAAGCCCAACTAAAACTAGGCGTTTCCTACAAAAGCTTTATCCCAAAGTGAAAGAACTGAGAAATTTGAATGCGAACACCATATATCGGCTTGTGAAAAAATTCGAAACTGATTTTTCACTTCTGCCCAGACGACCGACGGGAAGACCAAAATCTGTTGTGGTCGACAAAAATATTGAAAAGATCAAACGGTCACTAGAAGAGAATTCAAAAAGATCCGTCAGAGACTTATCAAGGCAAACAAATTTGTCCAGTTCCACAGTGTGGAGAATTTTGAAGGTTTTTTAAAGCTAAACTTCAAACTTAGAAATTTTGTTCATAAAATTAGTTATATCATGTAAATTATTGCTATTTAAATAAGCTTTTAGTTTTAGTTGACAATTTATCGAACACTAGATCATGACAGTACAGTGTACATGCTGAGACAAAATCTGACGATATAATGATAAAATGTAAAATAACCGACAATTTATTAACTTTCAGATGTTGAAGAACAAGGAAGAAAATGTATAGACATGAGCAAGAAAAAGTCACAGCACACACGCGACGTTTTGAGAAAAGTAGCAGATATAATACTTAAAGTTATTTAGCAAACTGTTGAAGCTGGAAGTAGAATTAGGCCTACAAAATTTTAGGCGTATAGTTGTACCTCCAAGTTCCACAGCACCCAATTCTTAACCGCCGCCCCCTTTTGGTGGAAGGGGGAGGTGGTAGTACTATGGGCAATCCATGTCATTAAAAGTAATGTTTTCATAAATTTCATAAAACGCAACGCATTGCTTGAATTTTCTCTGGAGTGATAGCATTTTAACTTTAAATTTAGGGACTTTTATTTAAGTTCTCAACTAAATTATTTTAAAATTCATCTCGATGAACCTATATGATACACGCATAATTGATGACTATATTTTCATGTAAATGTTTCATGAAAATTAATAATAATTACTTTGTAAAATATTCAGTTTCTATTATTTACTGCAATTATTTGTTATATATCGACTCTCTTCCAATCAATGGATTACAATAAGTATAACAATGTCAATAAACATTTGTTTAGGTAAAATTTAAGAAATATTTACAATGCATCAATACAATCCATAAATACAATACTTCAAAATAATATTAAACCAAAAATTAGATATTTCCTAGATTGGCTTCATTGCAATCACTAACGAAGCTGTCCTTTGAATTATATAGTGAGAATGTTCCCTGCTCCACTGTCATTAGTCTTATTACTCTATACTATTATCGTATGATAACAATAAACTAATTTCTTTACATCGTAAAATTAATCACAATTGCTTAAGTTTCGCAGTGACTGCCAAATCACCATTATTTTATAGTCCATCCATTTAAGTTTAACATTCGCTCACTCGGATGAAAAGATGTAAATTAAGCTTCGTTATTCCGAAATCCAAGTTTAGTGGGACACTCCTAGTGTCGGCCCGGCTAATCTCCAGCAATATTATCTCTACTTACTAGAGATTATTAATCTTAAGCATAAGTCAAGCCTAAGCATTATTTTTAATTGTTTGTTATTCTAGATACGACTCACATCCACTTATTGGATTCCCATAGCAATAAAATAATTTGTTTACATGGTTAAATTATAATCATGATATTAATTGCTGAAGTTCCTAAATGACTGCCAAAACAATATTATTTAATAGTCCATTCATTGAAGTTTCCTTTGTTTCACATTTGCTCATTCAATTCAGACGAAACTATTCTGACCAAGTGAGCGGTCATTCAGAAGGAGCATGGCACCTGCTAGAGGGCGAAAAAAGTTTGTCTGTTCAAAATGCGAGTATTTTACCACGGGGTCACGTAATCTGAGGGTGCATATGGTAGTTCACAGCAGTGATCGCCCCTTCCAGTGTAAACAGTGTGGCTTCAAGACAAAAACTTTGTATACACTAAAGGAGCATTCAAAAATACATTCAGATGATAAACCTTATTCATGCAACGAGTGTGATTTTCGGGCAAAACATCACACAACTATCACTGTACATAGACGAACCCACACAAAGGAGAAACCTTATAAATGTACCCTGTGCGAATACGAAGCTAGACAGCACCCTCATCTCGTAGCACACATGCGAGTACACACCGGGGAGAAACCTTTCCAGTGTAAAAAGTGTGATTACAAAACTACACAAAGCAGCCATTTGAGGATCCACGAACGTTCTCACACCTCTGAGAGACCATACAAGTGTGACGTGTGTGATTATGCTGCTGCCCTCCCATGTAGTTTAATATCACACAAACGTACTCACACTGGTGAACGGCCCTATAAGTGCGATTTGTGTGATTATTCAACAACGCAGGATTGCGCTTTAAAAGTTCACAGACGAAGCCACACGGGAGAAAGACCCTACCCGTGCGATGAATGTGATTTTTGTGCAAAAAGCAGCTGCAACTTGAAGTCACACAAACTTTCTCACTCCGATGAGAGACTGTTTAAATGTGAAACATGCGATTATAAAGCAAAAACCGAACGTAGTTTGAGGGCTTCATAAACTGTCTCATACTGATGAACGACCCTTCAAGTGCACTTTCGACCTCTGTGGGTATCGCAGCAATTACAAATCAGGGGTGCGGATTCACGAAAAGTCTCATTCTACGGAGAGACCATACCAGTGTGACATATGTGAATATAAAGCCAAAACCAAACATACACTTACTCAACACAAACGAATAACTCACAGTGAGGTTCGACTTCACGAGTGTGATTTGTGCGAATTTCGAGCAAAAACAAAAGGGACATTGAAAAGTCACAAGCTTTCTCACAGTGGAGTGAGGCCATGGTTGTGTGATAAGTGTGATATGGCTACTAAAACTAAGAAGAAATTGTCGCAACATAAACGTACTCACACCGGTGAGAGACCTTACCCATGTCCACAATGTGACTATAGAGCAGCCGAAAAAGCGTCTCTCAAGTGGCACTTAGCTGGACACTCTAGCGAAGTTGAAAAACCATACAGCTGTAAGTACTGTGAATACAGTACTCGCACTAAACAGATGATAACCAAACATATTTGGAATATGCACGAAGGATCACGTGACAGACCATTTGAATGTGATAAGTGTGAGTACACTTCAAGAACTGAGGAAGGTTTAACTGCTCACAAACTAACTCACAATGTGAGAATAAAACCCCACCAATGTCCTGAGTGTGACTACCGGGGACTGAGTAAGTCTGCTTTACAATCTCACATGGTGAGACATTCTGACGAAAAACCTTTTCTCTTGCAAAGTCTGTAACTACCAAAGCAAGTGGAAATACTCGCTTAAAGTACACATGCTAAAACACTCTGACCAGAAACTTTTCTCGTGTGACCGCTGTGACTTCCAAACCAAATGGCGGTCCTCTATTAAAAAGCACTTAGTGAGACACTCAGACCGACAACCTTTTTCATGTGAGCTATGTGACTTCAGAACTAAGTTCAACCACGATCTGAAATCACACATGGTTATGCACTCTGATGAGAAGCCGTTTTCATGTGACCACTGTGATTTTCGGGCCAAGAAGAAATCCTATATTGTTAAACACATCCAAGGAATGCACAGGGGGGAACCATCCTTTCTCAGCTCTCTTCAGAGCGAAACATAAAAATAGGACTCGATAAAAATCGCGGTAAGAATCTTTTTCCCCATGTTTTATTATTATGTTTTCATGGTTAGCCGTTAGCTTATATTACTTCGCATCTAATCCACTGATTTCTAATTATAATTTTCTGCTAGGCAAATAACTCAATTGCAATGTACTAGTATCGAGATTGATTCAAGAGACATGAATTGTGTGATTATCCTCAGAGAAGTCGGGGAACAGTTAAGAGATGCAGCGCGACGTGAGAGTTAACACTCTTAGAATTCTGTGCCTTCACCTAGCTAAAGCTCAGAGTAGTCCAACAGTTACTTTTTAAAATATTTCTACCGGAATAATTAAAACGCTACATTCCATCGAACTCAATTTAATTCTATAAGCAATTGCACGTTTAAAAAAATTAAAAAACTATCTTTGCGTGCACCCTGTTTATTTTTAAGATCACAATTTATCTGAAGTTTTACAGCCTTATCGTTGATCATGATATTGTACTGAGACATTATAGTTTATACGATAGCTTTGATTTTGTATACTGAATTCGGTACTATCTTTTAAATTCTGTTAGATTACAGTTATCACCGTTAACCACATTAAATTAAGTTTTTATCTCAAAAAAAATGCTTTTATTTAAGTATCACGCGATCCTTACTTCATCAAGAATCAATAATCAGACACAACATAAGTATTAAGTGTTACATTAATAGCAGACAACTGTCTTCCTACGTACACGACTCCCAGGTGGCTGGTTTGTTAATTAAAAGAAATGATTACTTATCTTAAATCATTAGTTCATTTAGCATAAAATTCTGATTTCCTGAAAGCCCAGTTGGTATGTGGTTGCGTGCAGTTATTTTATTTATACTTTGCTACTTGCCGCCTTTGATTTAAGACTAAGAGCTTCAACATGTACAAGAAAGTAGATTTGTTCTCTTTACTCAATATTAATGTTTCGGAGTTTCAGTCAGTGGACAATGTTACCAGAGGTCAGTCTGCAAAGATTAAGGGATATATTCGGATGCTAGGAATATGTTCATTGTATTTGTACAGTGCTGTTCTCATTTCATTGAAATCAGATGAGCATTTGAAATTTCCAAGTATTCATATCGCAGCTAATATGTCCTGGACCTCACAATATCAGCGTACATTTTCAATTCCAGGTAACCCAAGAGCAGAAGAACTTGCCCACCCCTACATCTTCACAATCTGTCTCTTCATCACGGGAATAGTTGCTACCCTAGCGAACCTCGTCCTGATATTCACATTCTTCGTGAAGAGACGACTCAAACATCTCCACAACGTTTACATCACTAATCTCACTATTAATGACCTGATTCTTGGTATCGTCACTTTTGTAGCCGCTGCTTTAAGTCTGTGAGTTTAATCGGGCTTGGGTCAGGACGGTAGATATCAATAACTGCAGAATAATCCATTTTAAATACTCACTATTTAATCCATCTTATTACATGATATGTCATTAGAACAAAGTTTCTCCCTGAATGAAATTTAATTTGATGATTGGTTTTAAGAGCAGTAAAACATTATCAAGATTGGCCACAGTTTCTGAGTTTCTATATCCTCAGAGCGCCAGATAAGAAGGCATTACCAATAACAATCTGTCACGTGACGAGTTCCCTAGACCACTATTCGGTCACGTGCTCTGTCTTCACTCTAGCGCTGTGTGCTCTTGACAGGTACATATTCGTGGTAAACCCTCGGAGGTACAGGGAAGGTCAACTCTCCCTTCAAAGGTTTGTAATTTTACAGATTTAAAGATATTTCCCATCTTAAAGGCCAGTATTTTCTGATCTTATAGTACGTCGCAGACAGTGCTTGAATAAAATGAGAAGCATCCTTAACATTCTTGGCAAACACTTATTCAGCACTTTACATGGTATTTATCAGGTCGTTATGGATACTCAGTGGAACTTGGATAACGTCCTTTGTAATGAGCATGGTACCTCAGTTTGGTTGGGGACTTCCTGGACTCTCATTTGTCACTAGCAGGTTGAAACGTAGAAAACTACCTGTTTTAAAACATTTTCATAAATTCTTTGATGTGATTAAAATGGGAATTTGAACGCACCAACCAGCGTGTTTGCACAGTTTTCACTGACAAATTTGTTAGTTAACTGTGGATATCTGCAAATGAATATGAACATTTGACATTCACATAAATACCATTCAGGTGTCCATTTTACAAGATAGGAGAAACTGTATATCCGCTGATAGATATACTCATAACACTACCATTACCACTGGTTCCCATCATTACTCTTTACGCCAAAACTTACATTGTAGCTCTGAGAACAGAAACTGATAAAGATATCGTCAACGACCGGTTAAATAGAACCAAGGTAATAGCCACTTACAGTTCTATGTACATTAGAAGAGTAAATCATGACGAGTTTCGAAATTAATAATATGCAGTTATGACCGGATATTATCCAACTATCAGCAGTTATGACTTGTGATCTTGACGGGGGATTCTTTGAAATCTGTCCTTATTTTAATGGAATTGTTGACAGCTTTTTATTTACAGAGTTGCTACATGTTTACTTTAGTAACATTGATCTACCTTTGGTCAACAGCTGGGGCCTACGCTTACTCTATCAGAGCTTGGTTCACTGGGGATTTGCCTCACACATTGCACTTTGCCATCGTCAAGGTTACAAAACAGAATGTTATTACGAATTCAATAGCCATAAACTATAAAGATAAGAACCATTTGTGTTTTATACAATTTCTTTAAATTTTCCTTATCAAGCACACGTTTGTATGACATGTTACACTTAAATTTTAAACTGTAACAAAAGTCTAAAAAATGGTTGAGTTTCAAACAAATAAATAAATCATTTTCACTGCAACATCATATTATAGTTTAAAAACATCAAAACTTGATAACGCAATAACTGGACAAATTTCAGCTGTTATTCAGATTTGGAGCAGCAATGAGACCGGTGATATTCATATCTCTGGACTGGGAGTGCAGGTTCACAATAATGAGCATGATACCGAGGATAAGCCAAATTAGACGCAATTCCACTGGAAGTTCTAGTGACATTTCAACACCAACTAGTCTCAACAGGTTCTCTTTTTTACCCTGAAATGAAACTTGAATATGTTGGCGTTGTGTGTCTGCTTATTCCATTCTGGGTATACATTTCACGTACTTTTTATAGCATTACTATCATTTTATTCCTTCAGGATAAGAAGACCATCTTTCTGCAACAACTCAGTGACTGCAACTGCTGGTTCAACTGACTCTTACTACTCCCGTCATCTCAGTATTGACACTAGACCCATCAGAAAAATGAGTCTGGTGGAAGGGGGCCGGATCTTGGCAGAGGGAAGTGCTGCTACATTAGTTCGGTTTGATCCGAAAATGACTCAGGGGGTCAAGTTTGGCAGACAGTGGGCCAGATGTGGTTAAATTAATGAAATTTTGGGAATGTTCTTGACTCTGCTCATCTGCTCTAGTATATAATGACTAATGCGTGGCTTAATGGCTGGTCCGAGTTACACTTTAGCCTATTAATATCACGCGAGCAGGGCACATGCAGACGCGCATGGCGCGGCACGAAATATATTGCACTAACTGCAGAAAGATGCATTTGTGTCATTTCAACTGCGTCGCGCGTTACAAAACACTTTGATTTTAAATGTAACCACTGGGGCTTATACGCATTCACTGGCTCATGTGATTTAGCGTCTTAATCTCGCTAAATGTAACTGAAGGTCCATTTTATCAGCCGCAAGTCTGGTCATTTCATCTTGATGAGCCTGCTGTGAGAACTTCAACTGATTCTCCAACGCTCTTACTTTCAGTTTTAAAGAAGTTTCAGCTGGAATGTTCTCGAAACTGTCAGAATCAGCCGAGTTCCCCAGAAAGACAGGTTCTAATTTTGGTACTGCTAAAGCGGTATCAGTGACTGGTGGGGGTGGGGGTAATAGAGCTGGTCTGTTGTGGAATGTGCCTGGTCTGTTCCGGAATGTGTTCTGATCAATGTGGGTTCCTTGTAACATTCCCTCCAGCTGTTCTATAACTTTCTCTTGGTCTCTGCAAGTCCTCTCCAGTACTCTCGTTACTTTCACCTGGAGGGGTTGTCAATGTGTGCGGCATTTCACTTGGAATGTAACAATTTCCATTCATTGTAACTTCATTGTAAAAACTAGAATAAATTCGTTTTGAGTGTGGGTTTTACAATTTAATGATTCACAATTAAATCGTTAATATTTCTGCTATCAATAAATTTTTACTGAATTTATGAGTAGAATTTGAATTGTTATTTTGTCAATACATAAAATAATAACCTTATCTTGAAGTTTCAGCAGTAGTTGGTTTTGTGATGTGTGGGCACTTCTCAGCTCGTTTATTTCACGTCGTTCAGTCTCAAACGAGGCAAACTTAAGTTTTATAGACGACACCGTATCACTCAAGTCCTTGTTATCCTCCACCTATACAACAAGAGGAATGCTGATCAGTTAAAAGTTATCTTTAATCCGTGCTAAAGATAAGATGCAATTCTAGTAATTTCATAACATTGTCTCACGAAGACAGCTTAGATATACTTTATTAAACACTATCCAACAAGTAAGCCTGACGTTATGCATGACTATTTTGAATTAAGCTGATTACTTGATCTCGTAGTGCTCGTCTAGCACGTATGACTTCTTTTATCAGATCGTCTTTCGGAACATTTATAAGAGAGACATCGTGGATTGGTTGCTGGAGTTTTGAGAGCCCACTCTTCAATCTGGTGTTGTCTTTCTTCAGGGCTATAATGTAGTCCCTGCAGGCCATAATGTCTTTACCCATCTTCTGTACTGCGTCCCTTAATTATAATTAATTCAGACTTAGTCCATTATTTAAAACACTAGAAATAAAGTTGAATTATAAATCGTCCAAGAACATGATACTGATGGGTATTGGGTAACTGGTAGGTGATCCGTCTTTTGTCTAACACGTGGCAGCGATTAACCAAAAACGTTCCTGCATTGACCGATACAACTTAGAATCACTGTCACGTGTCAAAACATCAATTAACGGAACTGCCAGCTAAAATACCTGTATTTCCTGAGTTCGTTAGCTTGCTGTTCTATTACTTTAGTCATGTACTCTGCACTGTTATCTTTACTGTCGTCGTAGTGTATGCTACTGTTATCGGCTTGTTGTGTTTGCGGTGTGGCGTGACGCTGTAACAACTACAAAGTGATAAAGTCTTTAATTAGTTTCAAATAACTAGATCTTTAAAATTTCTTAATTTGAAGTTTTGAGTTCGATTATTTTCATGTATTGTGTATCGTAACGAGTTAGGCTTAACAAGCAATATAAAAGTATCGAGTTAACAAGTTAACAAGTTAGTGACAATTAAAAATAATTGTCAGAACATAACCTGAAGTCACTGCACAGAGTACACACCATAGCATTACCTGTAGTATAGCTGAGTGATCAGGAAGTGCCAGACTATCTTTATCATATCCTCTCTCCCTGGGCTCAGCTACCACACTGTCATTATTAGTGACCAAATTAGTGACCAAATTAGTGACCACACCACCAGGCTCAGAGTTAAGCTGTTGTCTGGTTACTGGTCTAACAACCGTCTCACGTTGCCTCCCCCACTCTAGCATTGTGTCAGGGATGTTGTTTGGAGTCAGAGGTGGACTTACCCCTGTTAAAAAGAGAAAACCCTTTAGCACATAAAGACATAATACAGGGTGGCCCAGAAGTAACTACCCACACGCAACCCTTTAATAACTCACGTAATTCGTATAAGAATTGCTCAAAAATTTTAGAGAATATAAAAATGGGTCAAACTTAGATTTCCTGAAAATTTCGTAAAATTTCATCAATTACAGAGGGTGTGGCACGCCACTCCCTCTTTTTCACCATTGTCACTATAAAGTGAGAACGTTCTGGGCTAGGAACTCCAAAATTTCTAGACAAATTTGGTTTGATAATTGAAGTGCTCTCCCAAAATTTCAAGTTGGTTGTTTACAATTTAATCGAGTTATGACCCTTTGAAGATCTTGCGGATACGTGATCTCGGCACTTAATCAGTGATTTCGTCACCCAATCTGAATCAGTGATCTCATCGGGAGTTTTTCGCTAGCGTGCATCAATGAGCCTCATTCTAGTTCCACCTCATGAGACTTAAATTTCACAATTCTTAGTTCCTGAGAATGATCCCCTGGTTTCAGCTGGCTACCGGAGCAATATTTTTACCACTTCATCAGAAATTGTTCAAAAAAATATTTAAATAAGGAGCAGCCGTTGTGACGTAACTGAAAGAAGGATATAAAATGATGGTTAGTACAAAACTTGACCATATTTTACTACTATGGATTACTACTAGTAGTAGTGCACTAGATAATCCGCCTCGTTATTTATACTCAGTTAACACTTAACGTACTATACATCTGTTAACATCTGAATATACGTCCAGTTAATGTATAAGTTTCTTACTACATTTTTGTTGTTTACAGGACTTAGTCTTCAAACGTTCCATATACCCTGCCTATTGGTCGACATGACATTGTAACCTAGTAACAGTAACCCTAGCAACAGTGACCTAGCAACAGTGACCTAGCAACAGTGACCTAGCAACAGTGACCTAGCAACAGTGACCTAGCAACAGTGACCTAGCAACAGTGACCTAGTAACAGTAACCTAGGAACAGTTACCTAGCAACAGTGACCTTGTAACAGTAACCTAGCAACAGTGACCTAGTAACAGTAACCTAGCAACAGTGACCTAGCAACAGTAACCTAGCAACAGTGACCTAGCAACAGTGACCTAGCAACAGTGACCTAGCAACAGTGACCTAGTAACAGTAACCTAGGAACAGTTACCTAGCAACAGTGACCTTGTAACAGTAACCTAGCAACAGTGACCTAGTAACAGTAACCTAGCAACAGTGACCTAGCAACAGTAACCTAGCAACAGTGACCTAGCAACAGTGACCTTGTAACAGTAACCTAGCAACAGTGACCTTGTAACAGTAACCTAGCAACAGTGACCTAGCAACAGTAACCTAGCAACAGTAACCTAGCAACAGTGACCTAGCAACAGTTGGTCGACATGACGTTGTGCGGTGCCTTTTCTTTATCATAAGGGTATAATCCTTTTAATATTATCTTTCTTATGTTATTAGGTGTGTAGGATTACAGATATATTAACCATTCATATTATTACTGTACATTACATTTCTTTTTCGTAAACATTGTCTGGTCCTTGAGGCTGTAGTAGTAGTAGTAAACCCGCCAGTCTCACATCATTAGTAGAGTCCTTTGTTTATGGATTCGTATTAATGGATCGTTTCCTGAAATATCCCCTCGATAGCTCACCCAGTCCTCGACGTCTAAGAAACGGTCTGCCGTTTCAAATGAATAAATAACGTTTAATATCAGATCAATTCTTGAAACAAACATTTTTACGAAAGTGTTCTCGAAAAATATGTAGAATAAAATTCCCGGCTTGTTGCCGAGACCGGGATTTCTAATGTATAAACTGATACTTACCCACTAATTAATTAAGTGATCGTTCACATACTACGTTAAAGTAAGGTTAGGGGAGAGGGTTTACTGTTATTTCTGAACAAAGTGGCTTGCGGAGGGGAGGGGACTAAAATGGTCATAATCGAGCTCACGTAATACGTGAACAAACTCTTACCAAATAGGAAGTAGAAAAAAAGTAAGTAGAATTGGTCACATACCATTTATTATTATCATGGTATTTCCATTTATGTTTGTCACAGATTCCCCCTTAAAGACCAGAGTCCAGCGTCAGATAATTAGATTATGATGCAAGGCTTATACTGAGACTGCGAGAATGTAATAATTCCGTGAGTTAGCACGCCGTGTGAACACGGTGTGTTAATTTACACGATCTTGGGGAGGTCGACACATTCCTTTTCGGAGTATTCGTTGTAATCCTTTTTGATATGACTTGCAACCATTACTCTTCGTTAAAATCTGGTTTCGAATTCGAACGTTTAGTTTCCAGTCAACCTGTCGTATTAAATTACAAGTTTGTATTCCTACATTTTTTCAAATAAATTGTACATCAATGTACATATTATTAAAATCACATTTACACAATACCAAAACAGATCTACAGTGTCGCTTCCAACGTGCTCTAAGTCTAACTTTTTTGTTGAGTAGTTCCACCTCATGAGACTTAAATTTCACAATTCTCAGTTCCTGAGAATGATCCCCTGGTTTCAGCTGGCTACTGGAGCAATATTTTTACCACGTTATCGTAAATTGTCCAAAAGAATATTTAAATAAGGAGCAGTCGTTGTGACGTAACTGAAAGAAGGATATAAAATGATGGTTAGTACAAAACTTGGCCATATTTTACTACTATGGATTACTACTAGTAGTAATGCACTAGATAATCCGCCTCGTTATTTTTACTCAGTTAACACTTAACGTACAATACAATGTACATCTGTTAACATCTTAATATACGTCCAGTTAATGTATAAGTTTCTTACTACATTTTTGTTGTTTACAGGACTTAGTCTTCAAACGTTCCTACTATACCCTGCCTATTGGTGGACATGACATTGTAACCTAGTAACAGTAACCTAGCAACAGTGACCTAGCAACAGTGACCTAGCAACAGTGACCTAGCAACAGTAACTTAGCAACAGTGACCAAGCAACAGTGACGTAGCAACAGTGACCTAGCAACAGTGACCTAGCAACAGTGACCTAGCAACAGTGACCTAGCAACAGTAACCTAGCAACAGTGACCTAGCAACAGTGACCTAGTAACAGTGACCTAGTAACAGTGACCTAGCAACAGTGACCTAGCAACAGTAACCTAGCAACAGTGACCAAGCAACAGTGACCTAGCAACAGTGACCTAGTAACAGTAACCTAGCAACAGTTACCTAGCAACAGTGACCTTGTAACAGTAACCTAGCAACAGTGACCTAGCAACAGTGACCTAGCAACAGTAACCTAGCAACAGTAACCTAGCAACAGTGACCTAGCAACAGTTGGTCGACATGACGTTGTGCGGTGCCTTTTCTTTATCATAAGGGTATAATCCTTTTAATATTATCTTTCTTATGTTATCAGGTGTGTAGGATTACAGATATATTAACCATTCATATTATTACTGTACATTACATTTCTTTTTGTAAACGTTGTCTGGTCCTTGAGGCTGTAGTAGTAGAAGTAAACCCGCCAGTCTCACATCATTAGTCCCTTGTTTATGGATTCGTTTGTTTGGATTCGTATTAATGGATCGTTTCCTGAAATATTCCCTCGATAGCTCACCCAGTCCTGGACGTCTAAGAAACGGTCTGCCGTTTCAAATGAATAAATAACGTTTAATATCGGATCAATTTTTGAAACAAAAACATTTTTACGAAAGTAGTCTCGAAAAATATGTATAATAAAATTCCCGGCTTGTTGCCGAGACCGGGATTTCTAATGTATAAGCTGATAATTACCCACTAATTAATTAAGTGATCGTTCACATACTACGTTAAAGTAAGGTTAGGGGAGAGGGTTTACTGCTATTTCTGAACAAAGTGGCTTGCGGAGGGGAGGGGACTCAAATGGTCATAATCGAGCTCACGTAATACGTGAAGAAACTCTAACCAAATAGGAAGTAGAAAAAAAGTAAGGGTGGGCCAAAAGTCAGTACCCATACGTTGGCCTTAATAGCTCCGCCGTGTTTTATATTTGAGAGCTGTTGCTTTGCAGATGGCATACTGTACTTACTGGTTCGAGGATTCCGTCGTCGAAATTTGAAAATTCGAATATTTTAGACCACGCCCATTCAATATTCAAACACCTATATTTTTTTCTCTGAACATGCTGAACGCCTAATTTTTTTAAGAGACGGTAGATTATCAAATGTTGCATATGATCTGAAAACATGAGGCAAAACGGATTAGAAATGACGAAGTTATCAAGCATTTTCTGTATCTCGTTAACAATATTGACTGGGTGATTATGTGACACCGTGACACGACACCTTAATTGGGCACCCTTAACAATTCCCATAATGTTTAACGGGGTAGTTAACGGGGGCACCTTATCACGTGATTAGGTAAACCAATCACCTGATCACACGTAATGAGTAAACTCGTTATGCTTCATATCTCGGTCATCTGAGAAGCTACAGTTCTAATTCTTTCAGGACAAACGTAATTCAAATGGCCAAACACAATTCAATAACATTTAGCTTGATCCGACTATCCAAACTATCAAATAAATGTGAAAATGAACCTCCATTTGAAAAAAATGAACGCGAATATTTTTCGAGTTGACAAATTCCTCGAACCAGTGGTGGTACTAAGTCATACCAGAAAGAAGTATTTAAATTGGGCACTCAGTGACTGAGCTATAAAGGCCAACGTATGGGTACTGACTTTTGGCCCACCCTGTAGAATTGGTCACATATTTCCATTTATGTTTGTCACAGATTCCCCCTTAAAGACCAGAGTCCAGTGTCAGATAATTAGATTATGATGCAAGGCTTATACTGAGACTGCGAGAATGTAATAATTCCGTGAGTTAGCACGCCGTGTGAACACGGTGTGTTAATTTACACGATCTTGGGGAGGTCGACACGTTCCTTTTCGGAGTATTCGTTATAATCCTTTTTGATATGACTTGCAACCATTACTCTTCGTTAAAATCCTTTCTGATATGACTTGCAACCATTACTCTTCGTTAAAATCCTTTCTGATATTACTTGCAACCATTAGGTACTCTTCGTTAAAATCCTTTCTGGCACCTATGACTTGCAACCATTACTCTTCGTTAAAATCTGGTTTCGAATTCGAACGTTTAGTTTCCAGTCAACTTGTCGTATTAAATTACACTTGTATTCCTACATTTTTTCAAATAAATTGTACATCAATGTACATATTATTAAAATAACATTTACACAATACCAAAATAGATCTACAGTGTCGCTTCCAACGTGCTCTAAGTCTAACTTTTTTGTTGAGTAGTTCCACCTCATGAGACTTAAATTTCACAATTCTCAGTTCCTGAGAATGATCCCCTGGTTTCAGCTGGCTACCGGAGCAATATTTTTACCACGTTATCGTAAATTGTCAAAAAGAATATTTAAATAAGGAGCAGTCCTTGTGACGTTATTACTGAAAGAAGGATATAAAATGATGGTTAGTACAAAACTTGGCCATATTTTACTACTATGGATTACTACTAGTAGTAGTGCACTAGATAATCCGCCTCGTTATTTATACTCAGTTAACACTTAACGTACTATACATCTGTTAACATCTGAATATACGTCCAGTTAATGTATAAGTTTCTTACTACATTTTTGTTGTTTACAGGACTTAGTCTTCAAACGTTCCATATACCCTGCCTATTGATGGACATGACATTGTAACCTAGTAACAGTAACCTAGCAACAGTAACCTAGCAACAGTGACCTAGCAACAGTAACTTAGCAACAGTGACCAAGCAACAGTGACCTAGCAACAGTGACCTAGCAACAGTGACCTAGCAACAGAGCAACAGTGACCTTGTAACAGTAACCTAGCAACAGTGACCTAGCAACAGTGACCTAGCAACAGTGACCTAGCAACAGTGACCTAGCAACAGTGACCTAGCAACAGTGACCTAGTAACAGTAACCTAGGAACAGTTACCTAGCAACAGTGACCTTGTAACAGTAACCTAGCAACAGTGACCTAGTAACAGTAACCTAGCAACAGTGACCTAGCAACAGTAACCTAGCAACAGTGACCTAGCAACAGTGACCTAGCAACAGTGACCTAGCATCAGTGACCTAGTAACAGTAACCTAGGAACAGTTACCTAGCAACAGTGACCTTGTAACAGTAACCTAGCAACAGTGACCTAGTAACAGTAACCTAGCAACAGTAACCTAGCAACAGTAACCTAGCAACAGTGACCTAGCAACAGTAACCTAGCAACAGTTACCTAGCAACAGTGACCTTGTAACAGTAACCTAGCAACAGTAACCTAGCAACAGTGACCTAGCAACAGTTGGTCGACATGACATTGTGCGTGCCTTTTCTTTATCATAAGGGTATAATCCTTTTAATATTATCTTTCTTATGTTATTAGGTGTGTAGGATTACAGATATATTAACCATTCATATTATTAGCAGTGGCGTAACTTTGCCTGTTGGCGCCCCCCGCTCAGTGACAAAAAGCGCCCCCCTAAAATTTTTTGTGTCCCTAAAAAAAAAAAAAAAAAAAAAAAGGTCGGGTACTTTTTTTCTCGCCCCCCTAAGGCTTTTTGCGCCCCCCTGAAGCAAAAAAGGGGACCCCAAATATTTTTTTCGCGTCTACCGAACGCTAAATTGGACAGGGAAATACACAAACAAGGCGTTTTTTCAGTGAAAGGGCCTAAAATTCAGGAAAATTGCGCCCCCCTTATACGGCGCCCCCCCCCGCACAGCGGGGTCTGCGGGGCCCTAAGTTACGCCACTGATTATTAGTGTACATTACATTTCTTTTTCGTAAACGTTGTCTGGTCCTTGAGGCTGTAGTAGTAGTAGTAAACCCGCCAGTTTCACATCATTAGTCCTTTGTTTATGGATTCGTTTGTTTGGATTCGTATTAATGGATCGTTTCCTAAAATATTCCCTCGATAACTGACCCACATTTTTACGAAAGTATTCTCGAAAAATACATTTAATAAAAATCCAGGCTTTCTGCCGGCCAAACAGCCGAATTTTGGGATTTCCAATATAAGCTGATATTGGCCGAGACCGAGATTTCTAATATATGAGCTGATTTTTGCCGGGACCGGGATTTCCAATATATAAGCTGACGTTGACCGGGACCGAGATTTCCAATATATGAGCTGATTTTTGCCGGTACCGGGATTTCCAATATATAAGCTGACATTGACCGGGACCGAGATTTCCAATATATTAGCTGATTTTGGCAGGGACCAGGATTTCCAATATATAAGCTGATTTTGGCCGGGACTGAGATTTCCAATATATAAGCTGATTTTGGCAGGGACCAGGATTTCCAATATATAAGCTGACATTGACCGGGACCGGAACTAAGCCCAACTTGTGGTAGCTACATAAGAAGATGGTTATACGTATAAAGTTTGAAATTAAAGTATTTTGAGGTAACTAGAGGGGGCTGAAGACAGCCTGAGATAGCTGGAAAGAGCTTCTGAAACTGAGTGAAGCTTTTCGCAATTATATCAAAATTAAAGTTTAATTACGTTGTGTTCAGTGCGGGTTACATTTTAATGGGCTGTATCTTTATAGCCGATAACAAATTAACTTTCATAGAATACTGTATTAGCTTCCTCCCTGTGACCACAGGCTTTCTAGTAGTAGATAATAATACATTTTATATTCTATTTGACATTTGCAGTCTAGTTATATATAAACTTCAACTGAATATGGTTTATAACCCAAGCAATACCATAAGATTTTCTTACTTTCGCTAACTTTTTTTCATACCTTAGGAGAGATAAGATAAGATGGCTGATGATGTGGAAGAACAGCTACTGTCGGAGGTGCAAAAAGATGGTACTACTACACTGCACCAGGCTGCTCAAAAAGGGGACATCAAGTTAGTAAATGATTGTCTGGTGCATATAAACGTTAGGGACAAATACGATAGGACACCCATTATGTACGCGGCATGGACTGATAAAATAGAAATGGTTAAGCATCTACTGAATCTCGGATCTGATATCAATTTGAAGGATAACAGTGGGTGGAATATCTTACATCATGCAGTGCAGAAAGCCTCTATGAGAACTGTAGAATATCTTTGTGTCGAGTATACCGACCGAGGCTGCTACCTCATTAGTTAACGCTAAAGATCCACACGGCATGACACCCTTACATATGGCAATCAAACGGGGCTCCAGTAAGGAATTGATTTCAAATCTTTTTAAAATAGTTGACATTGATGTAGAAATCAAGAATTCGATGGGAAAGACAGCCTTGATGTACGCTTTAGAGGTTAATAGAAATGACATGATAGACATAGTAAACATTGTATGTCAGCACAAAAATGTTTTCTCAGAAAAGGACGATTACGGATTGAATATCTCACATTATGCCGTGATGAGTCACAAGTCGTTAGAGTTGATTAAGTGTCTTCTCGGCAATGGATCGATCAATAATGCTTCTTTGGTGAGCAGTAAGGATAATATTATGGTAACACCGTTTCATCTTGCAGCATCTGGAGGTAGCGTCGAACTAGTTTTATTCTTGCTGAAAATTGACAAAGTTGATGTGAATGTTAATGATAATTCCGGAAAAACAGCGTTGATGCATGCAGCAAAAGCAGGAAAAACTGAGGTTATCAAAGCCCTCATTGCTGATAACCGGGTAGAAGTCAACTATTGTGATAAAGCTGGAAGAACTGCGTTGATGCATGCAGCAAAAGCAGGTCAAACTGAGGTTATCAAAGCCCTCATTGCTGATGACCGGGTAGAAGTCAACTATTACGATAAAGCTGGAAAAACTGCGTTGATGCATGCAGCAAAAGCAGGACAAACTGAGGTTATCAAAGCCCTCACAACTGATGACCGGGTAGAAGTCAACTATCGTAATAAAGCCGGAAGGACCGCGTTAATGTACGCAGCAGAAGCAGGACTAACTGAGGTTATCAAAGCCCCCACAACTGATGACCGGGTAGAAGTCAACTATCGCGATAAGTTCGGAAAAACTGCGTTGATCTATGCGGCAAAAGCAGGACAATTTAAGGCTATCAAAGCCCTGAAAACTGATGTCCGGGTAGAAGTCAACCATCGTGATAAGTCCGGAAGAACTGCGTTTATGTATTCGGCAGAAGCAAGACAAACTGGGGTCATCAATGCCATCACAACTGATAACCGGGAAAAACTAAACTATCGTGATGAGTTCGAAAGAACTGAGTTGATGCATGCGGCGGAAGCAGGACAAACTAAGGTCATCAAAGCCCTAGCAATTGATGACCGGGTTAACCATCGTGATAAGGCCGGAATGACCGCGTTAATGTATGCGGCAAAAGCAGGACAAATTGATGTTATCAAAGCCCTCACAACGGATGACCGAGTAAAATTAAACCATCGCAGTAAAGTCGGAATGACCGCGTTAATGTATGCGGCAAAAGCAGGACAAATTGAGGTTATCAAAGCCCTCAAATCTGATGACAGGGTAGAACTCAACTGTCGTGATAAGTTCGGAAAAACTGCGTTGATCTATGCAGCGAAAGAAGGACAAACTGAGGTTATCAAATCCCTCATATTCGATGGCAGGGTAGATGTCAACCAACGTGATAAGACTGAAAGTACTGCGTTTATGTATGCGGCAAAAGCAGGACAAATTGAGGTTATCAAAGCCCTCATATTTGATGGCAGGGTAGAAGTCAACTATTGTGATAAAGCCGGAAAAACTGCGTTGATGCATGCAGCAGAAGCAGGACACACCGAGGTTATCAAATCCCTCACATCTGATGACCGGGTAGAAGTCAATTATCGTGATAGAGCCAGAAGGACTGCGTTGATGCTAGTTTCTGCTCTTCTTCTGGCGAAGAAAGAAAAACAATCTGAAGCAGCTTATCATTTAGTCGATAATGTGGACCAACTCGTATGTTCAATAGGAGACAATTCTGGATCAACTCCCCTAATCCTGGCTCTTGAAGAAAATCACAAGCATTTGATTCATGCAGTTGTGAAAAAAATGGGTATAAATAATGAGGATGTGAACTTGACAGATGCAAAAGGGGCAACAAATCTTCATACTGGAGTGAACGAAAATGATATTGAGCTGGTAAAACTGATATGCCAAAATTCAAATGTGAAAAACGTCAAAAACAACGAAGGTCTAACTCCAATAGACATTGCTGTTAAGAAAAAGCTTTACCCGATCTTATGGATACTGGTGGAAAATTTACCGACGGAAGAGATAGATATTAACAAGTCGTACGAAGAAGGGGACACACTGCTTCATTTCGCTGTGAAACAAGACAACCTTGATGCAGCAAGGCGCATCTGCTCCCTTCATGGTGTCAAATGCAGGGAAAACGACAGTGGCATTGATCCGTTACAACTGGCAGCAGATTCAGAGAATTTGTCATTATACTTCCTCTTGTGCATCTACAAACTTCTCGGCACCAAAGTCGATATAAATGAGCAATACAGAGGAAAAAGAATTATCCATATTGCAGCGGAGCTTAGTGATCTGGAAGAATTTAACTACTTACTAAAAGAATTCTCTAATATTGACGTAAACGCCAGGGACAGTGAAGATAGGACTGCGTTACACATAGCAGCAGCCAATAATGATGTGGATACCGCAAAAGCCCTCTGCAAATTCCCATCCATTCAAATCAACTTAGGATCTCCTCTATTGGCAGCTACTGAGCACGTAAACGTGGATGTCGCATTTTATTTGCTCTCTCTGCCAACAATCGATTTGGACATAAAAGACAGCGCTGGCAATAACATTTTCGAGATAGTCTGTGATCTTATAGAAAGGAGTTCAACGGAACAATCTGCCAGCATTACATCAAAGGGATCTTCAAACCATCAATACGCCTCGTAAAAGCAATTGAAGCTGTATTATGCGAAGTGGATCATGATTCAACCCAAGAAAACACAGAAAGTGACGGCTCTTTACATAAACCACAAAAAGAAAAAATACCAGAAACCTTAAGATTCTGCTCGAATTTAGCCATGAGAATCAGTCAATTCTGGCGCTGCTTCAGGACAAAATCAAGGATTTTTCAAGTTCTGATGATAAACAAGATGTAGTCAAATTCACGATTGCATCAGCAGTTCTTAACTTAATAATTGTCGGCTTGCATAAATATGCCGACGATGATGATCTTAGATATACTTTCTATAAAGATTTCATGTACAAACCCTTAGTTGAGATATTTGTCAATATGCAAGAAATTACCAAAAGTGATCATACTGCTACTATCGCGGTAATGAAGCTTGTTTATTTAACATTGCAAGCTAACGCAGACTGCCAGATATCAGAGAAGGAATTTCTTAGAAAAGCCCTGCATGGACAGCTTTACTCAGGGTTTAAGAGAACGATCACAAGTTTAGCACAAACAGTGGACAGTGGTGAAAAATGTAGTGACATTCAGCTCATGGCAATGAATATTAACGATACGTATTTCAAGAAGGAAAAAGGATGCTGTACTCAGGTGAGGAAATTATTCAAAGGCTGGGAGATTTGGATTGCTAAAAAATTGGAATTACACAAATGTAGTGAGAGAGGCATCACCACATTACTTTTTCCTATTCCAGGTGCAATAACTCATTTACTTGATTTTGCTCTGGATGTTAAAGTAGGGGTTGAATCTCTACAAGGATTTTCACAAAGGCTGGGAGGATTCATGATTGCTTTGGCGATTTCTACTCTAATTCATGAAAATTATCGGTCAAGTGTTGAGCTCTACAAAGCGGAAAAGGAGCGTCTTCGAGTCAGTCTTGGTAGATTTGCACTAAAGGAAGATGATCCAGATTGGATTGAAGAATCGTCCCTTAACTACAGTAAAACATGTCTCAAGAAATTCTTTCAGCGACTATTTTGTCCGTTTAAGATGAAAGATGGTGAAAAGAAGAGAGCTCTACTATTTAACATCCTTACAACATGTCAGATGCGACCAGTGGTCGACCGCCTGATGGTCTTAATGCACTCTCCATCGAAGATTCGGACTGTTATCCGCCAGAATTCGACACAGAAGGTACTTAACCAGTATTTCATGATTACAGAGCAGATACCAGAGCTGATTGTACAATTTTATCTCTTTCAGATCTATTTCAATAACATCGCCACCGAAGCATTGTCGCCCAAAGATGATAGCACTGCAGATAATGCATCACAACATCTTGCTAACAGCACTGTTGTGTGCTTTGGAAAGTTGCAGACTTTTACTTACAAATATGAGTTTTTCCAAGGACAAAAAAACTTTTTAGGGATCCAAACAAGTGCACCGTGGTATCTGATCATTTCGATGATTATCCCATTTCTTAAAATGCCAGCAAGCACAGTTTCACTTGAAGGGGCATTTAGGAAATTAGACCCACTAACCCCAAAGATGTCAGGCGGAGCCTCCACTCTGCTTTACCTAACATATTTAATCATGATCCCGTCTAGATTGTTCCTCCATGCGAGTCTAATGCAAGCTACTCCAAACCATTTCTTCAATGTTGGATGGATCATATTTTTTACTTTAATTTGGTTCATCATTAACTTTACAGTTATCTCCAAAGATCCTGTCTTCAAAGAAAAACAGCTCAGTCCTACAGCTAAGGTCAGAAAGGGGTTTCTGCTCCTTTTGTTCAGCTTTAGAGATTTTTGGGTAATCTCTCTGCGGGATACGACAGCTTATATGTCCAACCCTTCTGAAGTGTCGTACAAATCATTAAGAAGCTACAAGAGGATCATGTTGATATCGACCTTTTATGTTTTTGAAGGATTGGCAGGTGCTGTGTACATGGAGCACTTCTTCCCCTGCGGTACAAACTCTGATGTGTTCAAATACCAAGGATGGTCATGGTTGATTTTGTACATCATTTCCTCAACATGCCTGATCCTACTGGCCTACACTTTACAGCCGCAAATGTGCAACCGCATTCCCAAAAGATTCCCAATCAAATTTTTGTTCATTTGTGGCTTTGGGTTGATCATGTTTCTCTCTGCTCCTATGACAAAATTATTAATTGATGGGGACTCGGCAATTAAGATCACTGTCGTCATCATGTTCGCTCTGTTCTGCATTGTCTGTGTTTTGGTTTATCTCGGTCTCACTCACTGTGGTGAGGCTAAGGATAATACAAAGAAAGCTGCATGCGATGGTGGAGAGGATGGTGGAGGTGATGGTGGAGAGGATGGCGGAGTTTCAGATAGTTTCGAGAAAGATGCTGGCCTCCAGACCCTAAGTGGAGAGGGTGAGGCTAGTAAACGTCTTTTAGATACCTCAGTTTGAGTCGCTGAATATAAAGATTTAAGAACATTGACTCTTAAAAGCAAACCCTAAGGATGCTTTGTAATTATTTTCTGTCTTACAAAAGTGTTCTGTTCTTTTTCGTGCTGATTTCTAAACGTTTGTAAATGATTTTTATTTTTGAAGTGTTTCGAATGAAGTTTTCAGAAAAATTTAGGGAACCAATTATGTTGAGCTGTGAGCATTTAAATGCTAAAATTGCTAAAAAGAAATTTTCATGATGACGTGTAATGATTTTTTGTCATTATTAATTAATTTTGTTGTACTTTTTGTTGTTTGAAGTTTTTAATGTTCAGCCAATGTTTTGGTACATTTAAAATAATGGATCTGTCTTCTCTGATATTGAATTATACTACTCATTTTCTGATTTTCTACCTATTGAATTCAAACAGTTTTTTTGTAAATGCCTTTTTAATTGTATCACTAATTGGATGCACCCAATTTTATCCACTTAAGAATATCGCAAATGATTAAATCTTTCCTCTTTCGTTATACCCCTATTTCAAGGAAAAACTGTGTGCTTCCAAAAAAACTAATAATTGAAGCATGCTTCTAAATCATGAAAATTCGTTCTATCTACGGTTTAAATTAGCCAAACAATTATGCAAGCAATGTGTAATTAGCAGTAAGAAAGTCCTCAACCTTGCTGAGACTTTGCAGCGAATTTTTACCGAGTTTTGGCTTTGGAGGGAGAATTTCGAGAAAAATGAATGAGAAAAGGATCCGTAGGCAGGGTAATCTCTTTTTGTTCAGCTTTAGAGATTATTCGGTAATCTCTCTGTGTGATACGACAGCGTATATGTCCAAACCTTCTGAAGTGTCGTACAAATCATTAAGAAGCTACAAGAGGATCATGTTGATATCGACCTTTTATTTTGTTGAAGGATTGGCAGGTGCTGTATACATGGAGCACTTCTTCCCCTGCGCTTAACTTCGAGTCTCTGAGACCTTCAAACTGAGATACACATTTCCCATATATGCACTTAATATGAAATATGGGCGTGGCTCCACAGCCTTGGGACTAGCGACACAACATGTGCCCCTCGGTGATTTGAGTTGCCAATAACCTATTTAACCCGATTCAGTAGCAAAAAACTCTTTGCAGTGAAGTGCACACTCAACCCCTCCGGCCTCCCTGCTACTGTAATATATTGGTCGACATGACATTGTAACCTAGCAAAATGGTAAAATGGTCATAACTCGGCTTACTTGTAAACAACCAACTTGAAATTTTGGGAAAGCACTTCAATTATCAAACCAAATGTGTCTAGAAACTTTGGAGTTCCTAGCTCAAAGCGTCCTTGAGTTATGGTGATGATAGTGAAAAAAGGGAGTGGCGTGCCTCACCTTCTCTAATTGATAAAATTTTACGAAATTTTCAGGACATCTAAGTTTGAACCATATCTATATTCTATATTCTCTGAGATTTTTGAGCAATTCTGATACGAATTACGTGAGTTATTTACAGTGTTGCGTGTGGGTAGTTACTTCTGGGCCACCCTGTATTACGTGAGGCATGAAATAATAGTTCAAGATATTATAGAGGAGAAAGTATGATATTCAAAAATAAAAAACATTAGCAAAAATAAACATTAGCAGAGCCCACGAACCTAGTTTACAAGATATCCTGATTAAGAGGGCTGATTGGACAGAAATAAGTGGTACTTTAGTGAAACATATCCCGTGCTCGTTATCTCTGAGAAGTTGTATCAGCTTATCGTCCAATGATAAGGAACATTCTCCTATTTTATCTCCCAGCACCCACTGCGACTGAAAAATAAATTACAAATTATGAAAAAGACAGGCTTAGTGGCTCAATTGGTTAATCTGCCTGGCATTGCTAGTGAGTCGTGACCCGACTCTGTCACTAGCTGTGGGGTGAGCGTCGTCGACGCTCAGCTAAGGAGCCTGAGTGGTCTATGCAGCCCCCGGTCCACTCAGCCAAATACTCGAGAAATCGGGTGTGAGGGTTAAATGAGGAGCTGCCCATTGCAGCAAAGTCTCGGGCGAAGAAAGTATGGTACACACTACCTTAACCGTAAAATCGGCTTCCTGTAATTGGCTGGTTACACACTTGTGTAACAATGTGGCTGTTGGAATGTCCGAAGTAAAATAAGTGTTGAGATTTTAAAAGAAGGTGTCACTGGATTAAAGGGCACTTAATAACGAAACAGACGCCTGATATGATAAAACAAAAAACACGTGATGTCCGCTAACGTTTTGAGAGCTGATGAAGGGTTGGTGGAAGAGAAAGAGTCCGATGTTTTGGTTAGGTGAGCAAGCTCTAAAGAGGAAGGTGTGATACCATTGTGGCTGATCTGAGGGTCCTTGTGGGGTACTCAGCTGCACCTGTACCGGGAGTTAAGTGAGTTAGCATCTCACCAATCTAGAGAATAATTGTTAGAATGTGAAGCTTGACCAGGGTTGCACCAAGAAATTAAGCTGGAAATTTAATTCGCAATAATAATGATAATAACAGCTAGTACCTTATCATGGACATTGAATGAGATGTGGGAATAGGCATTCTCAAAGTGGTCCTTCCCGACAATAACGACCCCCTCCCTGGGCCTGTCTATTGGTGTTTCCAGGTACTGAACTAACACCTGCAAATGTTGTAGTTTTATTGGGAGATAGTCGGCAACAAATTGATTTATAAAAGTAAAGAATACAAATAGTTTAGTTGTATTCCAATGCAGAGATGATAAATTTGAACTAAATCAATTGGAGGGTTTCAAACTCTATAAACAACCTGTAGATCGAGCTGGGCGGGAAGTGAGGGAGGAATGTGCTTAGTCTTTATAACAAGCGTTATGAACAGTTCACTGTGCTGGCCAGCTAAGGTTATGTGATAATACTCAAACGTGTTCCGGTCCGCTAACTTCAGATCAAACTCATCAATAACATCATCAGCAGTGCAGAGCAGGAGCTCCAGTTCCTCCAGAGTTTCTGTGTGTACCACCAACACCTCCTCAAATACACTCCTGAAGGTGGTAACGTGAGTATTTACAGTTGTAACTTTTAGTAATGTATGAGCGAGTTTGGACAATAAAAGATTGGCTATTTTTATGCTTGTCATGTGACGCGATAATTATATCTCTTATGGAGATCAGATGCGGCGGAGTGTATGAAACAAAGATTCTTCAACAAAAGATATCTGTACAAAATTCGGTGATATAATTTAGCACCGTCATGAGTTATTAAAACTATCATCTGAATTTATAGAAATCATTAGAGAAGATGTAAGACATCTGGGCTCAAAAATACAGAAAGATCTTTATCATACAGGGCTTTATCATGTTTATCGTACCTTACGATATAATTCATGAGAAAAAACAATCCCTTCAGAGTTCAGCCGAAAAAGTTTCCACTGATCATTTCTTTGTTCGTCACCACGAAAGTCTAAGCCACAAAATTTCCAGATGTTTGTCGTTATTATTTAAATACTTTATCGCTTCCCAGCTCTTGGTGTGATCTAATTAATATAACATTCTTCGTGCCTCAAGTTGTAAGACGACCCACTCTGGCATCTAAGGCTCTATAGTGGCTTTATACAAACTGTTTTTCAATTGTTTCTTTTCCTTTCAGTTACATCTATCCTAGAACAGATGGTCAAGAGCTGGTGGCAGTAAAAAGTTGGCACATTTTAGTAACTCAGAAGGAAAATTAGATTTCTAAAAGATTTCAGTTGTTCTATTTGTACAGACTCTATGTGCTATGGATAGTATCAAATGTTTTTGCACAGTTTTAATGGTTATCGATTACTGCTTCCATTTCTCAATGAGTATCTTTGTACTTTTCTGCTAACAAATACGAATCACTATTTGGGAATGTTTCGCTCCGATACCGTGAAGATTTATGGCACGACATAAGAATGTAACAGCACGGTGATTAGACAAAGAGATCACAAGTGGTCTCTTTGATAAAGTATGGAAAAATATGAGAAGTCTATAGATTATTAGTGCCGATAAATTTCTCGTCAGTAATAATCTATTTCTCGTCAGTAATGATCTATTTCTCGTTAGTAATGATCTATTTCTCGTCAGTTATGATCTATTTCTTGTCAGTAATGATATATTTCTCGTCAGTAATGATCTATTGGCCGCAGATAAATATCTTTATTTGTCCATCTTGACAATTGTATTTATTTGTTGGTGCCTTCATGAACTGAATTTGCTATACCAACGGGGAGTTACAATTCACCCTTTTCCAACGAATCTTAAAACCTATAACATTATCTCCTTTTCATTGAACCCCTATCCGGTTTACATTGTTATTGTTTGAAAATAGTTAAAACTTCTAAAGACTTTAAAAACTCCTACAAACTATCCCAAAGACTTAATGGAAAGAATGAAACGTTTTTGCACGGTTTTAATGGTAATATGGTATTGTTCCCGTCTCTCAGTCTCTTTTCAAGGTTTGTAATTAACATCATTGAGATTCAGAGAATCTTAATTTTTAGAAAACCTCTTTTACAATCATGCAATAAATTATTTTTCAGCTGATTATATTATATTGAAATACACAATTTATCTTAACATTTCAGAAGAACAGTGCTCAGTAATAAGTGTTCAGGGATTTCTAAAAATGGGCTGCCTTATCAAAGGAAGACCTTCTTACAAATGTCCACATTCTGATAAAATGTATTTACCGTATCCTACTGACCCTGAAAGATGTCTTGAAATAGGATTCACGGACGTCTGTGAAAATGACCCTACATTTTATCAGTTCTGTGGATTTCCTGTTTGCTCCGAGCATAGGATAGCACAAGATCCTCCAATAGTGTGCGGGTCTTTTATATGCTCGACAAAATACAAATCACAATCCGGGAAGGATTTTATTCAACATCGTGGTGGGTGGATGCGCGACATGTTGACTACATGTAATGGTGCTCTTGACTGCTTGAATACAGAGATTGACGAAGAAGTATGTTCAAATGAAACCTCATTGTGTAAATATAGCAAAATCGAAAGAATTAATTCTGATAAAATTTGTGATAGAACCTGTGACTGCTTTTTGTGTCAAGATGAAACGCAATGCAAACCCGACCAAATAATCTCAGGAAAAGAGTGTGAGAATAACTTCTACAGCAAAAGAATTAGATTTTTAATTGGTGACCATTTAAGCGAATATGTACCTCCTGGGGCTATATGTGACGGAATAGAAGACTGTTTACAAGGATATGACGAAATGAACTGCAGTTCAACAAAACACTGCTTCAACTCTGAATTCTTAGGCTCGAAAAGAGTATCCCTTGTTCCTGAAAACATTTGCACAGTTCCGAATCCAAGATTTGAAGTATGTAGCAACTACATCGATCAGCTTAACTGTTCTCACGCATTAGACTCGCCTCTGATCTGTAAAGTTGATGGATATGATTCATTTGTGTCCAAGTATGCTCTCTGCAGAGGAACCACTTTGTGCGATGATGGAATGGAGAATGTCTGTGTGACTCCTGATGGAGGTTGTCATTTACACAAACACCAACTTTGTGATGGTTATCGAGACTGTAATTCAGGACTTGATGAGAATGAAGAACTGTGCTCGATGACGAAGAAAAGTTGCCAGCGAAAATTGTCGTACAGACAACATCAAGAGAACAATATTCCTTTATCTTGGGTTATGGATGGAGTGGAGGACTGTAGAAATGGAATTGATGAAGACCCGTCTCAATGGAAGCTCTGCGGAAACAACATAGAAAAACGCTACACTGAGTTGAACAACCCTTGCTCCGAAGTTTTTCTTTGCCAGAACAAAAATTTCGTCGAGTTAAGCAACCTTTGTGATAGCGTAATTTCTTGTTCGGAAGAAGAGGCCGTTTGTAAAGCTTCTCGTTCTACAGCTGATGTAAAAAGGGACATTCTCATGTACAGGAATGAACTGAGGATTGGTCATATACTTCCAGGTTTATATGATTTGGAAAGACAGATTTCTCCCATGATAAAACAGGAATACATATCTCCTGATGTTCCATTTGGAGTATCACCCCAACCTGTGATTCTTCCAAATAACACCAAGTATGATTGCAGACATGTTTTTGGAGAAATGTATGTTCATCTTAGTTGTCTAGGGGCTTGTCAAAACGCCGATTGCATTTTAAGAAAGGTACGTCACGATTCATGTCACAACATAATCAACAACCGATTTTTCACTCTCGCAAACAATTCCTATTTGACCATAGTAAGGCAAAGAAAAAGCAAATACCATAGTGATCTTTTCGCCTGTGATAATGGATTTTGTATAACGTATGAAAGAGTTTGTGACCTTGTAGACGATTGTGGAGATGGATCAGACGAAGCAGACTGTCTCAATAGTTTTAAATGTGACAATGGTGAGATCATACCAATCACTAAACTTCAAGATGGACAGATTGACTGTTCAGATTTTTCTGATGAATGTGGCAACATGTCGGGACTTCAAATAAAAATTAATGCAATAAATGGTCAAGCTTTACCGTTCTTTGCTTGGTTGATAGGATCAACAGCTATATTACTGAACTTGATCATTATTGTCAGATCAATCATCGATTTGTATGGTTGTCAAAGTCCAGTAAAACTGATCAACAGAACAATGGTGATCATGATATCTTTTGGTGACCTACTTGTTGGTTCATACCTTGTGGTAATAGCGACTGTAAACGATCAGACTAAAGAAAATTATTGCAAAGAAAGATATAACTGGCTCACTAGCAATTCCTGTGCAACTCTTGGTGTATTGAGTTCATTTGGGTCTCATATTTCACTCTTTGCAATGACATTTCTCAGTTTGAACAGAGTGTTTACAATCAGACGAATATCAGGAATTAGGTCTTTGACAATGTTTAAAACAGCCAAATTATTTCTTTGTTTGCTTGGAATGATCTGTTGCTCCCTTTTCATCTCAATATTTCCTCTGCTTCCTTCCCAAGAGGATTTCTTTGTAAACGGACTGAGCTATCCAGATCATCAATTATTTATCGGAGCCCCATCAAAACAGCACTACATCAGTATAATCAGTAGCTACCATCAAACCTTTATCAGTCGCGGTGGTATGACTTGGGCGACGGTGAGAAGATTGGTTGAGAGCATGTTCACAAAGGATTTCGGTGGGGTTAAATCCACTAGGTTACACTTTTATGGTAATGATGGTGTTTGTTTGTTCAAATACTTTGTAGGGGGGGGTGTCATGTCCGTCTATGTCCGCCTATGTCCTGTCCTTTTTGGATTCTATGAGACAACGGACGTGTTTTTTGGGACATTGGCGGACACGGACGGACATTGGCGGACTCGGACGGACATTGGCGGACTCGGACGGACATTGGCGGACTCGGACGGACATTGGCGGACCCGGACGGACATTGGCGGACTTGGATGGACATTGGTGGACATTAGCGGACATTGGTGGACATTAGCGGACAAACATTTTGAGGACTGAAGAGTACTGAAGAGTACTGAAGAGTACTGAGGAGGATGGCTGAGAAGGATGGCTGAGGAAGATAGCTGAGGAGGATGACTGAGGAGGATGACTGAGAGGGAGGAGAAGGATCAGGAAGACCCAGGAGGAGGAGGAGGAGGAGGACCCAGAAGGAGGACCTAGGAGGAGGAGGAGGAGAACTGAGGAGGATGACTGAGGAGGAGGAGGATGGCTGAGGAGGATGACTGAGAGGGAGGAGGAGGAGGAAGAGGAGGAAGAGGACTGAGGAGGAGGAGGAGAAGGACTGAGGAGGAGAAGGAGGACCCAGGAGGAGGAGGACCCAGGAGGAGGACCCAGGAGGAGGACCCAGGAAAAGGCCCCAGGAGGAGGAGGAGGACTGGGGAGGAGGAGAACTGTTGAGGACTGATGAGGAGGACTGAGGACGGGGAGGAAGAGTAGGAGGAGGACTGAGGAGGGGAGGAGGAAGAGGACTGGGGAGGATGGCTGAGAAGGATGGCTGAGGAGGATGGCTGAGGAGGATGACTGAGGAGGATGACTGAGGAGGATGACTGAGAGGGAGGAGAAGGATCAGGAAGACCCAGGAGGAGGAGGAGGAGGAGGACCCAGAAGGAGGACCTAGGAGGAGGAGGAGGAGAACTGAAGAGGATGACTGAGGAGGAGGAGGACTCAGGAGGAGGCACGAGGAGGACTGAGAAGGAGGAGGACTGAGGAGGACCCAGGAGGAGGACCCAGGAAAAGGCCCCAGGAGGAGGAGGAGGACTGGGGAGGAGGAGAACTGTTGAGGACTGATGAGGAGGACTGAGGACGAGGAGGAAGAGTAGGAGGAGGACTGAGGAGGGGAGGAGGAAGAGGACTGGGGAAGATCAGGAAGACCCAGGAGGACCCAGGAGGAGGAGGAGGAGGAGGACCCAGGAGGAGGAGGAGGACTGAGGAGGACTGTGGAGGAGGACTGACGATGACTGAGAAGGAGGAGGACTGAGGAGTACTGAGGAGGATGGCTGAGGAGGATGGCTGGGGAGGATGGCTGAGGAGGATGACTGAGGAGGATGACTGAGAGGGAGGAGGAGGACTCAGGAGGAGGACTCAGAAGGAAGAGGAGGAGGACTCAGGAGGAGGACTCAGGAGGAGGACTTAGGAGAAATGAGAAGGAGGACTGAGGAGAACTGAGGAGGAGGAGGAGGAGGAGGAGGAGGACTGAATAGGAGGAGGAGAAGGAGGGGGACTGGGAGAGGACTGGGGAGGAGGAGGACTGATGAGAAGGATGAGGAGGAGGACCCAGGAGGAGGAGGACTGAGGACCGAGGAGGAAGAGGAGGAGGATGAAGAGGAGGAGGAGGACCCAGGAGGAGGAGGACTGAGGAGGAGGACTGAGGAGGACTGAGGAGGACTGAGGAGGACTGAGGAGGATGGCTGAGGAGGATGACTGAGAGGGAAGAGGAGGAGGAGGACCGAGGAGGACTGAGAAGGAGGAGGAGGAGGACTGAATAGGAGGAGGAGGGGGACTGGGGGAGGACTGAGGAGGAGGATGGAGGACTGAGGAGAAGGATGAGGAGGAGGACTGAGGAGGACTGAGGAGGAGGATGAAGAGGAGGAAGAGGAGGACCCAGGAGGAGGACTCAGGAGGAGGAGGAGGACTGGGGAGGAGGAGGACTGTTGAGGACTGATGAGGAGGACTGAGGACGAGGAGGAGGAGTAGGAGGAGGACTGAGGAGGGGAGGAGGAAGAGGACTGAGGAAGATCAGCAAGACCCAGGGGGAGGAGGAGGAAGAGTAGGAGGAGGAAGCATCTAAATGTTATTTCCATTTTTGTCCGTTTTTGTCCATTTTTGTCCGTTTTTGTCCGCTCTATTTTTTGTCCGTTTTGAAAATATAGGGTACCGAACGGACAAAAAACATGATCCCCCTATAACAGCAAAAATTGAACATTTTATTTAGCAATTTAGGTGTCCATTAATGTCCGCCTATGTCCGCCTATGTCCGTCTATGTCCGCCTATGTCCGTCTATGTCCGCCTATGTCCGCCTATGTCCGCCTATGTCCGCCTATGTCCGTCTATGTCCTGTCCTTTTTGGATTCTATGAGACAAGCGGACATAGACGGACGTGACACCCCCCCCCCTTTGTAACACCAGAAGATCCTCAATGGATATACACTGCCATAGTGCTATCCATCAATATTATTTGCTTTGCTATCATAACTATAAGTTATGTTTCAATTCATTATCTGTCAGTAAGTTCAGCCAACTCGACTACGGTCAGGACAAAAGACAAGTATAGTAGGGCAAATAAAGTCCTCAACGACAGGAACAATGCTCTTCAAAGGAAAATATCATTGATTATCCTAACAGATTTCGTGTGCTGGATCCCTTTTATATGCATGAGCATTCTTCATTTTCTTCAAATTGTGGACGCTTCTCCTTGGTATGCTACATTTTCTATTATCATACTCCCAATAAATGCAGTGATCAATCCCCTCTTGTACGATAACCTAATCCAAATACTATTGGAGAAGATATGTCATGTCCTACCAAGCATACAGACACCCAACTGCAGTGCTGAAAATGGCATGTCAGTGGAGACGTAGATGTTATATTTTTGTACACTGTATAATTGCTAGTTTTCATCTAAAAGATAAATTAGGTGGGCTTGATACCAATACTATGAGTAGGAAAAGGCGAAGTTCGAACACTCTTTTATTTCACTTTCTAATTCTGGTGATTAAATCCTCAAACAGAAATTTCTTGAAAATATTTTGGCAACTTTTCGCCTGTGTTTTATCATCATATATTGCCTCTTTTAGCAACCATACTAAGTAAAACATACAACACACAAAAACTTCAGCACCCCATGCTGTTTTATAATTTCATTTTGAGAAAGTTAACCTGACTCAACTGTTTTCCTTGTTTGCAGATTAAAAGCAACCTGAATGATGTTATTTGACTAATTTCTGTTTACTCACTTTTGTAGAGGTATGGTCTTGGTCTTCAGAAGCGGTAATTCTTCATTTAGTCTAGCAATTTGCACACTGATCTTGCTGGCCTGACAATTAGTATATACCAGTCAAAAGTATTGAATAAGCATATAATTGAAATTCTCAAAAATAATAAGGCAGCCAAGAACTTATTGTTTTCATATTCTTATAAGGTGATTCTCCCTATAAAATTTTAATTGTTAAACAAAATTAAAACTTTACCTGTAACTGTAGCTGTGGAATGTTTTGACAACTAACACCATGGACCAGAATGACAACTGAATATTCAAGTAAAGGGGCAGTAATGGCACCACAGAGAAGGTCATTTGCCGTTCGCCTCCGTACAGCTGACATTGTATCTTTAATTTTATAAGATGATTATTCTGATATCTTGATAAGAAACAAGGAAAAATGATATAAATTACAGTAAAACCATGATTTAACACAGAGCTTTTGAAAGAATTATGTAATCAGAGAAAAATAGTTATATCCACATGAAAGGGTAGAAATGGTTGTGTTTGAAGTAAATCAATCACAACTATCGCTGCAGGTTGCTTATATATGCATGATGGTGAGCCTGGAGGTTATTCACATTAAATCATGTCAATCACATTTGTCTGATATCTGAATACAATGAAAAAATCTTAAATCATTATGTTCAATTATTGTGGTGTAGTGTAAGTTAATAAGTCCAGTGGTTATATTATATATCAATTAGTCAGTATAATAAACAACAAAGACTGTCCTATTGAATCATACTGCAGAAATCACTATAGTGGCCGAGGTGGCTACTGGCTGATCAGTTAGAGCTTTCGCCTTTTGAATATGTACAGAAGGTCGAGGGTTCTAATCCCAGACCCAGTGTCACTTATAGTCCAGTGTGGTAGCTAAAGATCCTTTTGATCTGTGCGAAGTTACACATTTGTGCAATGTTTCTAAGCTATGGTTGACTCAGCCGAATGATCGGACAATAATCACCCCCCGCGCGTGAGGGCACGTTTTTGCTAGTAATTTGCGACATTACTTTATGGATATCAAATCTCGCGACTTCAACGAAGTGCCGGGGACAAGTTTTCAATAATTCATAAACTTTTCAGTTCCTATCGTTTTAAGCATCGTTAGTGCTTTCCCAGAAACTAACTCTCATCATCCTAGGATAATCATGTGTCGCACAGCACTTGTTTCAGTAGAGAGTGTACTCGCCTTTACGAAAGAATGACGTGTACGTTTCGGTCACCTGCGGAAAAAGGAAGTGAGATATCGAAAATTTGAGATAAACCCGATCGATAAAATCCTTTCAGGTAGGTGCTAGTCAAGGTTTCATCTCTTTAGACATTAAGATGGCTTCAAACACCTCACAAAAAGTTTTCAAAAGTAAAATTTACTCGCGACTTACAAAAACCACCATAAACGTGCCCTCATAGATTTTTGAGGGCAAGTTTTTGAGCGCGCCGCGTGACTTTGTCTGAGCAACAGCAAGACGTATAGTTACAATCTCGCAACTATGAACAGACAAGGAAAATATTGTATTAATATCTGTCAAAGGAATTTAATGAATTTTAACAACTTGTTCTAATAATGCTAATAACTAATCGATGAACCTCATAAATGGTCGGCCCGGTGTGAGTGTATAGTATGGATTGTGCTCTGAAATGGGGCGCTGTTATTGGTTAATACAGCGGCCAATCAGGATCGAGCTGGTTTGTGGCTGCAGTCCAAATTTAGGATCATATCTGATTAGGTACCTAATTAGTGATTATGCACTTTAAAGTAAGATTAACTCGGTATTCACAATCCACATTAACAATTGTCTGCAACCAATCAAGGTCAAGCTGACTACTTAACGTGAAAATCATATTATTATATACTATATAGTGTTTGTATCATTATAAGACGACTCATGTTTCTGACATGTCACTTGTCAGTTAAGAGGTGAAATGAAAAGACAGTTAGACTCTCATTTGATGTACACATTTTTCTGAATTGTACATGTAACAATCTTTATCAGTAATCTGTAATCAGCATATAAATCACATACCAATGTATCAAAGTGAAAACTGAAATCTTACCTGACAACACAAATTATAATAGTACCATTTTAACTCTCATGCAAGTTTACTCTTCTACTGCACTGGTTTTAATTGAACTTCCAAGAACTGTCCGGAAAATAAATCAGTCAAAAGCAAAGCCCCCGAATGCACTGTACACAATCTTCGTAATTACCCAATGTATTTTATCGTGTACACTGTACAGACAGTTCCAATTAAATGCAGAAGAGTTGTTTAATGTTCCCACTTCCCAATTACAATCATAACAAACTCAAAATTGAGGATTGTATACTGTACTAATTTCTGCCAAATAAGCACTATATAGACATCACAATTTTAATTAGTGTATATCCCGAGTGGCGTGACAGCTAGAACGTCGATCTCCTCGCGGAGTGGTCGCACGTTCGATTCCCCGTGAAGTACGCATTAATTTTTTGCCCAGATCACTCCGAGCACAATCATTTTTCATGATAAATAGAACATAAACAAAACTGACATGGGCCTGGCTATATCTAATTTTAAAACATAACCCAGGCCAGAATTTTCTTGAATAACTGTTGAGTATCAGAAACCAGTGCAGAAAAAGAAAAGATATTTATCTCACTCCACTCTTTCTGCTGTTCTTACTGTTCTCCACCTCTGTTTTAGTGTCATTAACCGCTGCTGGTTCTTCTATCCTGAATGCTTGTTAAACCAGGGACCTGTATAAATATATAAGTTACAACTATTTTTTAAAGTTACAAATATCAGCTGATTTGCAAAATGTAGCGATTTAATCATGTGGATTGTGAATACCAAAGTTAATCTTACTTTAAATTGCATAATCACTAATTAGGTACCTAATCAGATATGATCCTAAATTTGGACTGCAGCCACAAACCAGCTCGATCCTGATTGGCCGCTGTATTAACCAATAACAGCGCCCCATTTCAGAGCACAATCCATACTATACACTCACACCGGGCCGACCATTTATGAGGTTCATCGATTAGTTATTAGCATTATTAGAACAAGTTGTTAAAATTCATTAAATTCCTTTGACAGATATTAATACAATATTTTCCTTGTCTGTTCATAGTTGCGAGATTGTAACTATACGTCTTGCTGTTGCTCAGACAAAGTCACGCGGCGCGCTCAAAAACTTGCCCTCAAAAATCTATGAGGGCACGTTTATGGTGGTTTTTGTAAGTCGCGAGTAAATTTTACTTTTGAAAACTTTTTGTGAGGTGTTTGAAGCCATCTTAATGTCTAAAGAGATGAAACCTTGACTAGCACCTACCTGAAAGGATTTTATCGATCGGGTTTATCTCAAATTTTCGATATCTCACTTCCTTTTTCCGCAGGTGACCGAAACGTACACGTCATTCTTTCGTAAAGGCGAGTACACTCTCTACTGAAACAAGTGCTGTGCGACACATGATTATCCTAGGATGATGAGAGTTAGTTTCTGGGAAAGCACTAACGATGCTTAAAACGATAGGAACTGAAAAGTTTATGAATTATTGAAAACTTGTCCCCGGCACTTCGTTGAAGTCGCGAGATTCGATATCCATAAAGTAATGTCGCAAATTACTAGCAAAAACGTGCCCTCACGCGCGGGGGGGTGATAATGCCATGGAACCCTTCGGCTAGTAGGATATTAATATTTACTATCAAGTATCACTCAAATAATTTGAGGAGTAAATCACACACAACAAATAAATCACGTAATATTAACCAGTAAACTAATTTCAACCAATTTACCTGAGGATCCCGGATTTCAGGCTTCGTTGTAGGTTTACAACCTACCAGGACGCGCACCGAGTTGGACTCGTCGACGGTCCAATATATGGAACAGATATTTTACGAGTATCACCCGTTAAGGCTTCGTTGTTAATAAACGGGTAATTAGATATGGTGAAACAAAAACTGAACGCCACTCCACACTCTGCGCCCAATAACAATTGATTTATGATTAGCAAAACTTCGCGCAATTTTTTTTCACAATATATTATATCGCGCCCATGCCCGCAAAATATTATTCGTCATGTGGCCCAAAGCTTGTTGTTTGAATCACGACGTATGTCGTATAACCCTTTCATTGTTTAGATTTTATTTAGTATCGGGGCGAACGACACGATACAGTTGTAGGTTTACAACGCGCGCCGAGTTGGACTCGTCGACGGACCTGTATATATGGAACAAATATTTTACGAGTATCACCCGTTAACCGCGGCCTACAATGTGAGGCAATCGCTCCAAGGCAAAGTGTTACAAAGTATTTTGCGCCGTGGGTCAGTCCATATTAAATTTAACCATAGCCGTGGAAAAGCAAAATTTGTTATGTGTTCATGTTATGCGGTTATGGTATCGAAATTATTTGCTCAATACACCAAAATCATAATTAAAATAATTTTATTAAATTGCTAAAACTGAATACGATTTACAAATTGATTTTTAAAGCTTTTTTAAACAAAGACCTTCGTATCATTGCATTTATATGTTTAAATTACCATTCAGTCATATAAAAACGTTTTTATGGTTAGAGATGGGTTTTAGAAAATTTCTTGAAGCGCCGCGCACTATGAAAAACTTTTTCAGAATCGAGCGCTAATACAATTATCTTTGTGAATATTGTTAAATATGAAATCGTCGTTTAATAGTTCATTAATTCCTGATATGGTCTTTGCTAATTGAACATTTCCAACATGAACAGCTGCAACGTTACTCTACTGGTCTGAATCCCTTTCAGTATACTCATTACTCCTTTAGATTAGATTAGATTAAGATTAATGACATAAAATCATCATTAGTTTTAAACATTCTTCCAAATTTCTTCATTATCAGAACTGTTAACTTTTCACAGCCTTCGTCAGTATAAACAAAGTTTTAACATAATTTTCATAGAAATACTTATTTACAAAAATCGAAATTAAATTAATAAATGAAAAACTGTTAATTTTTCCCTTCCTCTTGTCAACACACGGATTTTTATGTAAATATTAAACTTGTTGCTCCTTCTTCTCGATATAATTTATACCCTCTATCTTATCCTAAAACTGTATCTGACACTTCCTAAAAGTGTCTATTAGATTAATAGTCTTTTTAAATTCCTCTAGGTTAATTTTAAGATTAATAACAGACTATGAAATTCTAACAAAAGGTGGCAATTTATTCCAAAAGCTAATAACACGCTCTGATAAAAAATTGTTTGACAACGTCTTAATATTTCTATCTATATTGTTAGATTTAGTGCTACTCATAGATAGACATATAATACATTTTTGTTTTCTTATCCATAATTTTGAACTGTCTGGGTTTAATTAACTTGACC